CTTTGACTTTGCTATAAGTGAAGGTTTTAATTGTTAAGAAAAACACACAACACGGTTTTCTTTATTTGTGGTGAATGTGTGGTGAATGAAGAGTAACAACACGAGCGTCACTTCCCAAAGCATTATGAACAAAACACTGATATCTCGCTACATTCTGACTTTGGAAATTCTGGATTTCAACAATTGCATAATTTGTGCCGTATTTCAGATGAATGTTTGATGGAATCTGTGAAGGGTCCGTCTGAAAAGGGAAAAAGGATTTAAAATCTACGAATATAGTTTATGTCGGTTCATTGTTTGTATATATAGTTATTGTTTAAGAGAAATTTTGGATTGACTTTAACATTATAGTTGAGGTCATTGCATTAAATCCTAACAGCTTTCATTCTCACTCGTAAAGATTATATAACAAATGTATTTCTCTAGCTGAATGTTTGGTTAAATACTTTTCCAACCCTCCCCTTCTTTGCTCGCTTTTCACATACAAAACAACATGTATACACTAGAAAATATAACCAAGATACATGTATTTTAATCTTTTTAACATTTTTTTTTAATTTTAAACTTTAGCAATGCCAACTTTATCACAGGATTTTGGATCCACAGGCACTTGTTTAGTATACGGGGGACCTCTACCATTTTTTTTTTTGACCACAAGGTACGTGCATGTACAGTATGTATCTCAGTTCCAGGCAGACCCGCTTCAAGCTTGCATTTTGATAATACATTGTATATGAATCAGTAACCTACTTTCAAAGGACACCGTTCGCTTTGAGATTCTTCTGTGTCGTTAATTAAATCGTTTCAGAAGTCTCGGTTGAGCCTATTTATTGTAAACTACTGATTTATTCCTCAAAAATTACCTCCGTCCATACAAAGAAAGACTTTTTATAAGGTGCATCCATTTCCGGTTGGTGTTGTAGATGTATGATAAAATCAGAGACATCGGAATTGAATACTGGGATGTTTCTGGTTTTACCCTACCCTAAATCGGAAATTGTCTTAAAATGTATAATCGAGATACAAATTGAGTGGTTCACAATAAAGACTGTCGACCAGAGACATCTAAAACGATTTCAATGATAAAAAAGCTATCTTGAAGCGAACGATTCCATTTTAAAGTAGGTTAATAATCAATATATCAAAATGCGACATTGAAGTGGGGTTCCTGAAATTGGGTGAGTATCTTGTGGTTACTAACAGTAAGTTGTGCGTGCCCCGTTTACGAAACAAGTGTTTGTGTTTTGATCGCTTTAAACCGACTTTAAAATATTGGATAAAAGGAGTGTAATAACCATTTCATAGAATACTTTATTTAACCAATAAATCAGTTCGTTATAGACAAATTCATTCCGGATTTCTGCGTTCTACTCAAAGTATGCTGAAATAAATTCCAGAATTGAATTTTTCCCTGCTAAATATTAACACTACTTGTAAAATGGGAACGATGGGACGAATTTTTCCCGGAATTTGTTCTCACTGAATATTTGCCTTGACGCACTCACTTTTTAAATGTTTATCTGACTTGAACAAAACTTTTCGTTAGGTTACAAACAACATTTTAGTGGTTTAACTCACAAAATCAAAGCTTATGGTAATTAATGTATTCCGAGAAAATTTCCTTTCTGCTAACTTTTAAACATTTCAAATCATAATGGTTTTGCAGCTGGTAATGCAGTCAATTTCTTCTATCCATATGCAAGAGGAATTATTACTATCAAAGTACATGTTCATGTATTATTAGTGTGTAGTTGTACGCTGCAGTTTAAAATCGTCTGTACACATGTGAATGACCAGAGGCCAGAGATAATGTTGCCAAAAATTTTCAATTTTGGAATTGATTTCAGCATCTTTTGGGAAGAGGTAAATGAAATTTTGGAAAGAACTTGGTCATTAATGGAAATAAAGAGTGTTAACATAAATACAAATGGAAAAAAGGTTTAGACCATTTGATTTAAATAATTCATTTGCAAATATGGGTACCCTATAAAAGGAGTTTTAAATCTGCATTCTTTTTTTAAATGCCATTTTTTTAAGTCGGCCTTAAAAGACATATGGTCGTCAAATTATAAAGCATAAGCCTTAATTACCAACATATTCCATCCTAGAACATCTCTGGAAGTGTTGGCTACCGTACAAATTAGCTGCACGTTATCGCCATATTGATAATGACTGGGTCTTATTTCAACGGAGAGTATATGTGGTGTTGAAGCTGCATAAATATAAAGAAAAGTTTTTAAAACAGTCATAAATGAATTAAATCTGTGCGAATTAGTGAAGGGAAAATATGTCGTATAAAATAAATGTTAAATATAAATGAAACATGTTTAAATTCAATATATATTTGAAATCATAAATATAATTCAGTGCTTTAAAAGAAACAACAATAATCAAAAGATCAAACTGATTTTGTAAATAAAAATTAAAAATCTATGATCTTAAAGAGAATATTCATGTTTTCATTGCAAAGCCTACGGCTGCTTTAGTAGTTAAGATTTCATCTTCTAACAGACAAGCTATATCGCTCTACTGATTTAACATGTATGTATTTCGCTGCTATTGGAGCTTTAAAAGACGTTAATTTATGTGTGTGTATTTCTTTTCTCTGGAAAATGAGTTCCTAACGTATGCCAGAATTGATTGTATGCTGTTTAACGTCATATTTGACATTTTTTTCACTTATATAGGGACGTCACCATATACCTGACGTTGTGTGAAAGGCTATTTACTTGTTACTCAGGATTATTCTATAAGTATCGTGTTACTGCATGCTCCTTGAATTTTAAAATATTATCTGAAAAACCAACAACTTTCCGACCATTTGGAAAAGGAACAGTTGCTACTTTTTCTCGACACATGTCAGTAGTTGCCGAGATTCCAACCACGACCTTTCAATCACGGAGCAAACGCTCTACTTTGGATTATACAGAAACTAAAATCTTTGATTCTTTGGTGGAATTTTGATATTGGAGTCAACTTTGCAGCTATGATACTAAATATTACATGTAGCTTGAATTTATCTTCTTTTCATAGCATGATGCACTTAAAATATTTTTATATTAAAAAAAGTAAACCCTTTCAACATGAACTTTGAAAACTTTTCAGTGTTAAAACAAGAAAAAAAAATTAAATAAGATGAATGAAACCAAATCATTGGGATGTTTTGCCGTTATCATGATTATTTTATGAAAAGTTATTCGTACTGATTTACGGACTTTTAATGCAGTAAAGTTGCTAATAATTAATCGAATTTTAGATATCCTAATTCTGTCCAATAATATCTTTCATTACGTTTTGAAATAATCTTTGTTTAGGAGAGACATGTGGTTAAGTTCACGTTATTCCTTTATCAGGGAGCTGAAACAGCTATTTGAGAAAAATAACCCTAACATAAATTTCCATAGAGCTATATAAAATGCTGTTACGTGTACCTATAATTGGAAATACTTTAATTTGCTATGAAACCCTAAACCTTTCCTGAATTTCCAAAGATGAAAATCTCTAAAATTCGACACATTGGAAGAAATTTTCTAAATAATGTGTGACTTTACATGACATTTCCATTTAATACCAAACAGCATACAAGTTGAAGTTGAAGAACACATAAAAACCATCTTTTATTCATACAAAGGCCGTTCAAAAATTACGCGGACTCTGCTATTAATTACTCTTACAGATGTCATATAGTTATGAAATTTCACAGAAATATGTATTGTAAAGATTCCAATAAATTTTTGGCAAAATTTTTGTATTTTAAAAATATTCTTCTAAAATTATTGGTATGTTGATATCGCTGATGGAGAGGTACGGAGCATGGCAAAACATGTGAAACAAGGTCATGAGGAATCCAGAACTTAATTCATTAATTTTCTATAATTCGCGATATCTTTCGACAATTTTCTCAAATGTATCTTTATATTGTTCTGTTATTATGTATTTCGATTTCTGACGTGATATTTGAAGTACTTACAGAAATTTAGTGATATTTATTCGATGCAATTTCCGTGAAAACAACTGTGAAAATGAGGTCTCCAGAATTGACGGAGCACTGCAATTTTGTTAAATTATGTGTAATACTCGAGATAACGCCAACATATATCCAAAATATGCAAAACAAAATATGTAGTACATGTATACTAGGGTATTCGTGACATCTGTCAACAAATAGCAAATTGGAATAAATTATTTTGGACCGCTAGACCTCTGTAAAAAGGCTATATGGGAGGACGGGAAGAATACTATCGACGAAAACTTTATCCGGACTGTAAAGAACGTGATTGAGAGTTACCAATGTCACACTATATCTCATAAATACCTACAGTTTTTGGTTTTAAAACCAAAAAAAAAAAAAAAAGAATATGCTTTTGTTTAATAGATGTTACGCTAGACAAGAAATGATACATGGATGTTGAGTAAATAAGGTAACCCATACTGTTCAGGAACTCTTGGAAAAATGTTGAGAAAATGAAAGCTAAATCAAATATTTCTTTATATTGTCTGTGACCTCAAAGATTTTGCTGCTACGTGGCTTATATTATAGATATTTTCTGATAAATCACCAAAAATTGATACCAATTTACAACATTTTTATATGAAATGTTGAAGACCATATAAGTAAAAATTCTTTTATATTACAACATTTTGCCCCATTATATCGTCAAAAAAATTTTCTGTGCAACAAGTTCGCGTAATTTTTGAACGGCCCTTGTAAGTCACTCGTATGGCGCAGAAATAATACTGTCTGCTCTAGAGTCGTGGAGTAAGGAGTTGATCCTTACGTCACGAGTTCACATCCCACTCTGGGATGTGCAGATCTGTCCCTCCGATGAGACCGTATAAACCGAGGTCCTTTTCTGTAGTAGAAGTGCTGGCATGAAAAAGATCCCTCACTACTCAATGGCCTTAATTGCTTAGTATAGATCAAAATTTGCAGCTTTCCACCAGGAAATGGTGCAGTCCCCATATGATAATTCTCAAGAAGGACGTTAAACAATATACAATAGTTAATATATGCAATAATACCCTATTATTAGGAATATTAGCATAAGTTCCAAATACTCTAAACTCTTACGTGTAGCAGTTGTTGGTATTGTAGTCTTCATAGTTGTCGAGGTTGTCGTCGTCATTGTTGTCAATTCAGTAGATGTTGAAGTTCGATGATCATTCATATTCAAAGTGAACACGTGGTTAGCAAACCGTTGGCCATCGGATGCCACACAGATATATTGGCCATTGTCCGACTCCTCGTAATTTGGGATTATCAAGGTGGAACCGCCATTTTCTGTGCGACATTTTTCCGGAAGTGTTCGCAAAGGCTAAAAACAGACACGTCTAAACACCTACTAACAAGATACAATTTTTCTTTTAGAGAGAGAGAGAGAGAGAGAGGAAGAGAGAGAGAGAGTATGAAACTACCGAAATTATAGATTTTTCGTTACACATTTATTGAGAGAAAGTTAAATGTCTGAAAAAAGTTTGTTCGTTTTTTTTTTATTTTTTGTTCTACTTTTGAGCGAGAAATATTAACAATTCAAAGTTAGGGTAATATTATCTTATATTTAGCTCAACAAAACAACACTGTTGTACTGACATAATATCGGCTAAAATATTATTGATACTTAGTATACCGATATCCACGTGAGATGGGGTTGGTTCCCACCAGTCAATACGCATGTCAGATGAACTTCTGAACCCCTTACGATGTACTTTGGTTGGTCAGTGAAAATAATTTTCAATTGATCTAACATCAGAAAAAAAAATATCAAATATATTTTACTTTGATCATACACTGTAATATAACGAGCGTTGAAACTAGATAAATTTACAAGTTGTCTCTTTTCTTAAAGAACTCGAGTTTAGGTATCATAAAATTTAAGTGTACATGTATTTGTTTGAAGAGAAAAGATTACGTTTTTGTTCACTCACATGTTAAATCCTGTTGACTTGCAACAAAAGATAGTGTTACTGTGAATAAAGAAAAATCTTTTTTGATTAACAAATTCTTACTTAAATTTTGACAATTATAAGTGAAAATGATAAAAACACAAAAACTATTCCCTTTAACTCAAAACAAATTTTTAATTGTTTTTGAGTTGTAGACATGGATATTTTTTTTCAATTCCTAGGTTACATGTATTTTTGGCAGAAAAGTAATTTCGAAATTAAAGATGGATGAGCAATGCAAGTGAGATGCCTTTAGTGCGACATTAAGTTGATAAAGCGATTATTATTTGAAAAAAAAATTCTTTGACATGTTTTAATGAGTAAAATGAATAAGTTCCACCGCGTACATGTAGTTTTTATTTTTTATTCAAATTTCACTAAAATGGGATTAGAAGTGAAAATATTTTTATAGATTAATAAGGATGGTTTCATAGAAGGTTTACAATTTCTTTATATTCTAGAAATTTATTATTTGCATCATTTTCAATTTTCATTTCCACTTTTATTTTTTTCACTGTTCATGAATTTCAGTCTTGAGCAATTTACTCCCAATTCTTAATTGACAAGTGCATGTGGTATGGTTTTTTTTAATATACATAAACATGTATCTGAAGTTATGAAAATTTTTGATTGGCTTGTTCACCTTTAACACTTTTGATTAAAATATCACTGTGGGAAAATAAATTCAAACTTTCTGGCAACAATAAAAATAAAAATTATATTGTATTGAAATTTAGCACTGTTTTTTTTTATAATTTAGGTAGTATTTGGGTGTAAGTTTCAAAGAAAAATCCAAAAATTGCACCTGAACAATTCAAAGCCTAGGAGTTAACTGATTAACAATGATTCATGTAACATATAAATAATAAAATATAACAATGGCAATTAGCACTGAGCATGAGTAACAGATGGCTTAGATGGAATAACTCATGACATGTTGAGTAAATTAATTAAATAAATAATTTTTTTTTTCAGTTACATCTACTGTAATTAGTATAATCAAAGTTTTTCAAACTGTTTGTTTTAAGTAATTACAGTAAATTAAGAGTATATTCTAAAGTCAGCTAAAATATATATACTAAAATTGTTTTGATAAAAAATCACACCGTGATATTTACATATACGTACAAGGTTAGAAAAGTTTTTTCCCTTATATGAAATGAAATACACTCAAGCTATTATATAAATATTGCATGTTTTTGAGAGTAACATTGAATTTTTTTTTACAAGAAAACCATTGTCAACCGAGGTAACACAATAATGAAAAGTTTAAAAACATAATTTGCATTAGAAACAAAAATTTTTACTTGAAAGGTTAAAAACTGGAACTACACGCAATATTTATTATAAAATACTGAATGTTTTATACAAATACATATAACAGTAAACCGTGCGCGCATAAATTCAAAACAGTCGCTATTTTTTAAAATAAAATCACCCGTCGTCAAGTAATGTTGACTGTTGCTACGCTGGATTTTGTGCGTGGCTTCATTATTCAGCGGGTAATAATGTTTTTAGCGTGTGTTTCTCGACCAATCAGATTCAACTAATTTACATAAAGTATAATATTCATTTTTGTCAGTTTCATTATTTAAAAATTTACCTTGCAGTATAATCAGAACATAGTCCCATGAATACATTGTATATAGGAGAAATCTCTGTCAATAGATAAAAGGGGGAAAATTACTATGAAAGAACTGCTGTTTTATAATATATGTACAGTATAGTGAAACAACACACATATGAATATATAAATGAATATATATATATATATATATATATATATATATATATATATATATATATATATATATATATATATATATATATATATATATATATATATCATTTTGTTAATTCTAACACAATAAATGTAAAGATGTACATAAAAAAAAAAATTATTTGCATTAGAAACAAAAAATTTTTACTTGAAAGGTATAAAATTTTTGAAATAAATGAATCGTTTCAGACTCTGACTTAAAAATCTAAAAAAAAAAAAAAAATTAATTAATGATAACTGTTTTAGTGAATTTCCAATAAACAAAACAATTACTTTTTAAAACTAAAATCATTTACAACAGACAAAGATAATTCTTATAGTAAATGTACTTACCTTAGATTTTGTTATTTTTAATATAGCTTTCAAATCCAAAATTTTCCTGCAAGGTTAGTCTGTCTTAGATAACGATTTTCTCGTCTAGTCGGTGTTTAATTATGAAATTAGGTTCAAAACTGAAGAATTGCGTGAAGCGTAAAAAAGTTAAATAAGTACTAGGATTTGCAAAAGGCAAAGTTTTTTTTTTTATCTTAATAAGTAAAATAATAAGATAAGGTAGATAAGTTTACTGTAAATTTTATTTGAACAGCAATAGAAGTTCAACCTTTAATTCCTGGTGTTAACTTATTTAAAGATTTTTTTTTTTAAGAAAAACAAAAACATAATTTATTTTTCCTAATGTGTTTTCTCCTTTGAAAAGGATTAAAAATCATGTGTAAAAAGTGAAAATTTAAAAACAACTTGCAAAGATAATTTCACCAATAGTAAATCAAAATCAAAAGACATAAAAAGTGTCTACATCTAAAGGGATATAATGTTTGTTAAAAGAATGGTAGCTTTTTTTTTTTTTTTTTTTTTTTTTTTTGAAAAGAAACATACCATTTTGTTCAACTGACAGTTAAATCTTTTGACAATCTGATTTGAAAAAGGAAATCACTTTTCTTTAATCAACTTTCTTCCCATTTTTTTTAAACTAGTCATATATTACACGCGTGTTGCCGCATCCATTAAAGCGTCTGCTCTAGAGTCGCTGAAAAAGAACGTGATCCTTACGTCGTGGGTTCGAATCCACAACGGCAGCGTATATAAAGTGAGGATCTGTGACGCAGTAGGTATTAGTACAAATTAAAAAAGAGTCTCCACTGCCTAATGTCACTAAGTGTAGAGCAATGGTATCAGTAGCCCTCTATCGGCAAGTGGCGTTTCCATACTTATGAAAAATGCTCAAGAGGGACGTTAAACAATAAACAAAGAAAAAGAATGAGCTTGGGCATTAGAATTTTATGCAGAAAACATACGGTCGACTTTCAATTAATCGTACTACAATAAAAATAAATAATAAATATGAGATGAAACACCAAAGAATATTTTTGTTGTTGTTACCTCTTTGGACTTGTGTTTGATCGTACAATGTCGAAATGTACTGTTTTTATCTTAAATCTTCAATATGAGCAATAGTTTGAGTGAGAAATATGCCTTAATACACTTGATTGTAGCTTCTTCAGTGGCCTGAACATTACAAATAAAACCATTAACAGACATAAATATACAAAAGCTTCAATTAAAAAAGCCATTCCAGGAAAAATATGTGCAGTGACACCATATATGTTCAAAAATATAAGTGATCCCAAAAATTTACTTGAAGTTTCTGCGGCGGTAAGTATGGCAAATAACTTTCCCGCTTCATCTACGTCAACGGCTTTACTAGCCAATGAACGCAGAGCGGAAGTTGACATTCCAGCCATAGCTCCTATGGCAACCGAAACAAACACCATCCAGGTAGTATTGCAGAATCCCGCCCACACCAAACGAACTAATTTACATAAAATTCCCAGCATGACTATTGTGACATCAGGAAGCATTAGCTTGTTGGAGAGAAGCGGAAGAAAAAGAAATAGACACACACCCTTAACGGCGTACTCTAAAGACAACAGGTATCCATACCAAGGTTTTGGCCAACTGAGCGGTCTTCTCGTTATGAAGAGAAGATTAATGTCACCCTCCCCTGTCCTGCAGACCTGGGTCACCAAACAAATTACCAGAAGTGCAATGATCATTTTTCTATCGTTTAAAAACCTACGTCTTGTTACAACAGTTATTGCCTCTTTAAAATTCGATGGCCGAAAAATTTCACACACTTCGCATTTCTTTTCTTTGGATTTCTGCTCTCTGTTTGAATCTACTGTTTCATCAATTAATAAAATGGTTAACAAAATGGACATTCCATGAAGTATTGTGACGCAAACAAATGTAACACTGAGATCAAACAGACTTTGTATTATTCCGGAAAGTAGAGATCCTAAGCAAACACCAAGGAAGTTCATAGCTAAAAGAATACTAAGGGTCTTTGTTCGATTTCCATGTAGTGAAATATCACAAACCATGCTATTAACGGCCATCGTTATAACAGAGCTTTTCCCAAAAAGTCCTTGAAGTCCGAGGCCAAAAAATAATAGGGGTATCCTGTACATAGGCACCAAGTCGCTGAGTATGTAGAACACGGCTGCGAAGACACTACCTAAACTTGGAAGGAAGATAGGTATTTTTCTTCCATATCGATCACTGTATGACCCGCAAAGAAGAGCTAAAGGAATGGCGGGAATATTCAAAAGCAATCTGTAGTAAATCAAATAATTTCCCGACAGGCTTTGCATGTGATCTTCAAGTTCCGCGTTTTTCTCTAGTTCCTTGCAGGTTATGTTTGGAGATTGTTTATATAGAGAGGTGTCGTAACACACTGCACTGACTAAGTATGGTTTTGTTGTCGTGTCTAGCATGGATTCTCCAATCTTGTATACAAAGAACACAATGTTTACGGTGATTAAATTTAACTCCTCTGGCGACATTTTTTCCCATACAAAAATATTATTACAAAAAGGGTGGTCAAGACATGGACGAGATGGCGGCCACCTTTTCTGAAAAAAAATAATAAATTCTTTAAATTTAAAAACATCCAAGATAATTTAGATCATTAATGGTAAATCTTTTATTTATACACTGAATTGACGACAGATTTTTCCGTTATTTCCCGATCATGACAAAGAGCACACGGCGGGTTTGACCAGTTGGCAGGAAATGCTTACTCCTCAATAGCACCTGATCCCACATCTGATGTTTCCTCTGCTCCTATTTTGTATTGTTTATAGACTTTTGATCTTGAATACTATTCGTTATCTACACATGTTTCATCATTATTCTAATGTCAGTCGCTTCTATTTCAGTGTAATTCGAAATTTAAAAAAACATGAATTTTCAATGAAGACCTTGAGTATTTTCAATTTTTTCTTATCTATTATAGCGCAGATATTGATTTTTGAGTGAAATAGGATATGTTTATTTTTAACTCTTTCTAACTCAGCCAAGCCAAGGGCTCACGTGAACTTTTTCGGACCGAATCTAAATTTGTCTATTGTCTGTCATTGTTGTTGTCGTCGTTGTTGTTAACTTTTTATATTTTCATTTTCTTGTCAAGATCCACTTGGTCAGTTTTAAACGAACTTGCAACTAAGTATTCTTAACTAAAGGGATTTTAAACATGTGCGCTTGAGCGGTTACATCATCTCCCAAGGGATATAGTTACGAATTCTTAAAAAAAAAAATTAACAGCATTGTTAAATTTGTACCTGAGAGGCGGTTGTTGGACCATCAATGGGTAAAAGGAAATATGGTCACATAAGATTTATTTTTATCTTTTCATTCCTTTTATGTCAGCAAGAAATGCCTAGCATATAAATCTCAATTGAAAAACCATTCTATTCAGGAAATTATCACTTAGAATGATGAAAAGAAATAATTTTTACATTTTTCTTTGAAGACTGTCGAGGGTAATAAATAATGAAAGGCAATGGTAATCTTACGATCTTAGTAAAGTGATGCATGCAGTATAACGAAATATATGTTTTCTTAATGATGTGTGCAAGCTCACCTTGGATGGCACGGATGTGATTTACATGTCACATTTTACATGGATGTGACCTGCATATCACATCTTGTGGCCTATTTTGTTTTGATGTGCCATCTATTTGCTAACTTTTTTATATGATGTTTTGATTGTCTTGTCTTACAGATACTTTTTTCTAGTCATTTTTGGGGGATCAGACATTATCATATTTTACGTAACTGATAAGCAAAGCTTGTGAATCTGATCCCCCTTCTTGTTTGTTAAATTGTTCACATTTATATCGTCATTTTAATAAATGACATTATTCATCAACATGAAAGTGTTTTATTTGACTTTTACAAAATTAGCAAAAACAAGCTGCGGTGATCTTGCCTATAAGCATTAGAAGACATAAAACAACAATTATTAGAATAATAATTGTATTTATGTATTTAATGCGATAATTTGTTTGGAGGTTTCCAGAAACATTTACGTTGGTATATCGTAAAAATTCTCAGATCCACGCCTTGCCTGAGGGATTGTGTAAGGTCACGTGGTTAGCTCAGCGAGTCATTCACACTCGCGCGCTCACCACCGCTAACATGAAGCACGTCTATTTTGAAGACCCACCTCCACCCCAGCATTCCTATCCCTTAATATGATCATTAATGTCTTGTAAAATTTATATTATATTATAGTTTTTACTCAATTGTTTTACTGCTTCTATGTATTTGGTTTTGATTACGATCTTTTTGCAAGCTTTTTCTTCTGAAGTTTTGATTGTGTCTTTGATGTACCTTCTTTTTGCCAACTTTTTCTTGTGATGTTTGCCTATTTTGTTTTGATGTGCCATCTATTTGCTAACTTTTTTATATGATGTTTTGATTGTCTTGTCTTACAGATACTTTTTTCTAGTCATTTTTGGGGGATAGACATTATCATATTTTACGTAACTGATAAGCAAAGCTTGTGAATCTGATCCCCCTTCTTGTTTGTTAAATTGTTCACATTTATATCGTCATTTTAATAAATGACATTATTCATCAACATGAAAGTGTTTTATTTGACTTTTACAAAATTAGCAAAAACAAGCTGCGGTGATCTTGCCTATAAGCATTAGAAGACATAAATATATGTTTTCTTAATAAGACATTCGATTTAAACATTTATCATAAACTACTATCTTCTTTAAAGACGTTGAACGTGGTACAGCATGTAACATGGTTTCCAATACAATCTTTTTCAGAAACGCATGCACTTGAACCTTACCTAAATTATATCTATACAAAAAAGGCACGTAGCAACAGGGAGGGGGGCAGGGGGGCCTGGCGCTCCACTTTTTCCCAATGTTACTTTCACTATTTTTATTGAAAGATTGGTTTCTTTTCGGTAAAATCACTTCGAAATATACACTGTACATGTACATGTAATTCGAAACATCTGTCTTAAAAATCGAAGGTAAACTAATACTGCCGGAATTTATATTAATGTAGTTCATGTAGATTAAATGTACATGTAGCACTTAATTAGCAGGAAAAAAATCAAAATGCAAAGTAGCCGAAAAAAAAAAATAAATAATTACATATTGCTATAAAAAAAAACATACAATTTGAAAAAAAAAACAAGTGTAAATTTACGAACAGGGTAATAAAACATACATCTACTTTTTAAAGAAAAAAATCCCTACGAACATTTCTAAAAAAAAAACTTTAAAATATGATTCAAAAGACAAAAGAAATAAATCGATTTCATTGTTTTCAATCGGATAGGTCATTTCCCTCCTATTTCTTAATTTGAAAAAAAAATTATGAAACTTAATAATTATGCATAAATATAGCCTAACTTTTTCTTAAATACAAAGAGGTGTTACATGTACATATTTAAAATAGAAACGTTAAATCTAGAATCGTACCTTATAAACTTTGTATTTCCTAAAATACTTTGAGAATGTCAAGCCTTTCCTACAGAAGGAATCAAATTGGAGGTAAGTGTGGGAAGCTTCCCGGATATTCCTTTCAAATCACATTTAAACATTTCCATAATAAATTGATTATAACATAAAACTGTTAATTTTCCTGAGATTACAAATCATTACTACAAGTCCCCGGCTTCTGGCTTTCATTTTCGACAAATTCTTCAATAGAAGCCATCTTTATATAACAAAGCGCCATAATTACTTCCGCGACATTAAACGTAACGCCAAATTAACTTATACATTATAGATGAAGATGGCTATTAAAGGAAACATTTTATATTTCTTCTACATTCTGAAGTAAAGGGTGCCATTGATTGAATATTGAAGGGTGACAGAATGGTAGTAAAAAAATACTCCAATGATTTATTTTTTAGTATAATATTAAATATTTGTTGAACGCAAATGAATGCGACAGATTTTAAACAATATTGAAAACTGTACGATTCTATTTCTGCCCATGCCTTTTCTAGGATGGGAGAGTTAGACGCACCAGTAAGTCCATTTTTTCTTCGCCTATAGCACTCACCCTATTTCGAAAACTGTTCTTTCCATCCGAAAAAAAAAAACATTAAAAAAAGGGGGGGCAAAACATTTCAAGAACTCTTATAGAAATTTTCCTTATCATTTGAGAAAAATGCGCGCCATTTATCTAAATTGAACTTAAAATCCAATTAATTTTTATTTCATTTTGGAAATAAAAAAGTACACCACTTTACGAAAGAAGATGCTGATCCCGATCTCTAAATCGTTAATTGTGATTTCTTAATTTAATTTAATTTTTAAGTTAATTAAACTGAGATAAGCTATTCGTTCGCGGGCGCTAAACACAGAAAAAAGAGACTTAAAATGACCGTACGATGAAACAGAGAGGAAATTGATTCTGGTTAAGTCCGTGTTGTTCATTAGAGCTATTGCGTCATTCAGAGGTCTTTCTGGTGCCTATTGATTAGAGAACTTAAAAAGCGGGAGGGTATATAGTAATCGGTATGTCCGTCCGTCCGTCCGTCCGTCTATTACGCTTTGGGGTACCCTTCTCTTATCCGAAACTCCTCTTATACCACAGCATGAAATTTGATGAAATTTTCACAGAATCTTTATGACATATTGCCATTGGGCACCTTCTATCTCACTTTTTGATCCGACACACATTTTGGGTTTCCCATAGCAAAATATGGATACTGCCGTTTTATTCATATGGGATGCGGGGGTATCATTTAGTGAGCTCATTGCTCATAGAACCTCTACTTTTAAAACATAAATTGAACACATTTATTCCTTTCCGCTTGTTGCATTTTCTATATCTAAAAGAGGGACTAAAACTTTTAACATTCATATGGAGACGCCACCATTTGCCGTTGGAGAGCTGCAGATTTTCTTCTATACTCAGCACTTAAGGCCATTGAGTAGTGATGGAACTTTTTCATGCCAGCACCTCCTGCGACACAGGACCTATGTTTATATGGTCTGATTCGAGGGTTCGGTCTCCACGTCCAACAGTGGGATTCGAACACGCAACATTAAAAGCAACTCCTTACTTCGCGACTGTAATGAAGACACTATTAACTTTTTCGCCAAGCAGGGGACTCACCTGCAAGTAATGTCTTCTAAAAATGAGACATAAATTCTCAAAAAGGACATTAATTAAAGAAACTAATAAACAACAAAATAATCTCTTTTTAGTTTGCAATAACATTCATTCTCAGAATGCTAATGGCTTTCCTTAAACACAAACACTGGAAATGACAGGGGAAAAATCTTACACGTGTCGTTATATCAGTTTTCATTGTAAATATTACGGATAGTAATTATGTTTTTAATTTACCACACACTGTTACTTATATTCAGTTTGATAATATAAATTATATGGTACACGTATTTTTATTATGTTTTCAATTAGCTACATACGGTGAAATATTTTGATTATGTAATTAAAATGATAATGATTTATGTTGATGATTTCCTTGATATTAGTACACTAGAGAAGTTGAGAAAGTTAAATATGTCTGTTTCCAGTATGTTAAGGATAGCCATTTTTGTACTGGTAAGATTTTTTTTGTGTCTTCAAAATAAGTAAATTTATTTTCTTCATGCCTATACCATGCGTTGTAGAAAAATAAGCATGTTTACAAAGCGATCTTAGAACTACGATGTGACCTAGCAATATTTCAAAAAAATATCTGTCTTCGAAGGATCTTTGATTGCTTCTCATATTTTTTGTTTTTAAAAATCAATGAAAGTTTGATAGATTCATGAAGAGATCTTTCCTAGAGTGGACAGAGGCCTAAAACGCAAGAAATTATGCCCGAATTGAGCGACCAACGAAAAAACGGTGGTGTAAATCGAATGTTTTTACAACGCTTGGATCTGTAGCTCTTTGCTTTATCTGTACGAATTTACTGAATCAAAGAGCTACATTTCTGCAACTACGTCTCCATATGAGTAAAAAATTCTCGAGAGGGACGTTAAACATATACAACCAAACAGAATCCGAAGCATTGGTTTTTACGTTACACATTTGATTTGAACCTGCACCGTAATGACCAACTCATGAACTTTAGTGCATAAACTTTCATCGCTGCCCCACGCCGATGTAAAGTCGAATAATGACCCCCATAGAATAATGACCGGTGTCATTTTTCGACGGCGAAAAATGATCCCCGGTCATTATTCGACGTCGAAATATGACCCTTTTGCCCGTAGAAAAATTGTCATCCCCCTAAAAATTTGCATACCCCACGTGAAGAAAAATGAAACCCGTAGAATAATTACCCCCTTGTTGAATAATGTTAAAATTGTTAGGGGACAGAAAAGAGATCTATTGGCCAGAATGCTCACCTGAGCTAAATTGGATATAAATTGATGATATGTTGATCTCAATAAATTGTAAAATTATTGCTTTTTAAAGTCAATGCAATGGTTCAGAATCTAAAGGAGTAAAGACTTATCGAGCCCAACGAGCTGACAGAAAAATGTAGCAATATTATATAATACTAGTATTACACCCCCTGCTCGAAAAGCGGGAGATTATATACAGTGATCGGAATGTTCGTCCGCCTGTTACGCTCGATATCTCTTCTCTTTTCCAAAACTCCTCTTCCACTGCTGAATGAAATTGAATGAGACTTTCACAGAATCTTTGTTACATAGTGCCATTGTGCATCTTCTACTTTACCTTTTGATCGGACACACATGAGTGAATAAAATATGATGATACTTTCACAGATTCCTTGTGAACTAGAGGTACCGTGAGCAACAGGCTCACTAAATGATACCCCCGTGTCCGATATGATTATAATGACAAAGTCCCTGTTATGCTCTTGGAGACCGGAAAAAAGTGTCAGATCAAAAAGGAAAAAAGAAGGTACACAAGGGCATTATCACCGTAATAAAGAATCAGTGAAAGAATCATTAACTTTTATTCATTGGTATAGGAGCAGTTACAGATAAGAGATTGGTACCCTTCAATAATATTTTAAAAAAAAAAATTAGCAGTATCAATGTTTTGCTCTGGAAAACCAAAAATATGTATGCAATCAAAAAGTAAAATAGAGAGTGCACAATGGGACTATATAACGAAGATTCTGTGAAAGTCTCATTAAATTTCATGTAGTGGTAAAACAGGAGTTGTGGATAAAAGATAGACATCCCAAAGCGTAACAGACGGACGGACATCGCGATTACTATATACCCTCCCGCTTTCAAGGGGGGGGGGGGGGGTGTACTCTTCAATAATATAAAAAAATGACAGTTTCAATGTTTTGCTCTGGAAAACCCAAAATATATATCCAATCAAAAAGTAAAATAGAAGATACACAATGGGACTATCGAACAAAGATTCTGTGAAAGTCTCATTAAATCTCATTCAGTGGTAAAAGAAGAGTTGCGGATAAGAGATAGACACCCCAAAGCGTAACAGACGGACGGACATCGCGATTACTATATACCCTCCCGCTTTCAAGGGGGGGGGGGTGTAATCTTCAATAATATAATAAAATGACAGTTTCAATGTTTTGCTCTGGAAAACCCAAAATATATATCCAATCAAAAAGTAAAATAGAAGATGCACAATGGGACTATCGAACAAAGATTCCGTGAAAGTCTCATTAAATCTCATTCAGTGGTAAAAGAAGAGTTGCGGATAAGAGATAGACACCCCAAAGCGTAACAGACGGACGGAAGGACAACTCGATTACTATATACCCTCCCGCTTTTCAAGGGGGGGATATAATAATGCCATTATGCACGTCCTATTTTACTTTATGATCCGTCGCTTATTTCGTGTTCCCCAGAGCAAGTATAATCATATGGGAGGAGGGGGGTGTCACTAACTGAGCTCAGTCCTCACCGTACATCTAGTTATACCCCCTGCTTGAAAATTGGGAGGGTATACCGTAATCGGTATGTCCGTCCGTCCGTCTAGCTCTGCGTCCGTCTGTCTGTACGTCCGTCCGTCTGTCTGATACGCTTTGGGGTACCTATCTCTTATCCGCAATCCTCTTATACCACTGAGTGAAATTTAATGAAACTTTCACAGAATCTTTCTTACATATTGCCATTGTGCACTTCCTATTTTACTTTTTGATCCGACACATATTCTGGGTTTCCCGCCCACAGCAAAACATTGACTTTGTCATTATAACCATATGGGAGGCGGGGGTTTCATTTATTAGTGAGCTCATTGCTCATAGTATCTCTAGTTTTATTCTTGTTTTATTACACCCTTTCACTATGTTCTGTGTATATTTTAGAGCGTTTTAATATGAAAATCAGAACATTTAATTTCATTTTGTAACGTTTTCTTCATCCTGTGTCAAAGCAAAATATTAAAATTGATTGAAGTTCCTTTTATTATACATGTATATACTTCGCACATGTACCCGTAAAGTATCGAAACAACCCATAGACAGTCAAAACTAGAGGAACTGTGAGAGCTCATTAGATGATATCCCCCCCCCCTTGCGCCTCCCATATGATTAAATTGGCAAAATTTATGTTTTGCTCTGTGGGACCCAAAATAAGTGTCAGATCAAGAAGTGTTAAGTGTGTTAGAATGTGCACATGGGGAATTGAGGCATTATTATTTCATTGCCTGGAGGAAATAATTCTTCATTGACAACAGACATACATGTTAAAGTAATAAATTCGCTTTATACTTTATCTTCATGCTTGCTTTTAGGTTTTAATTTGTTTTTCATTTCTCCTCAGATATTCATTAATGTGTGATTTTATAAAAATTAAGTTGTTTGTATGAACTGCTCTGACTCAAAGATGATGCGTAAAACATGGAATCAAAAAGTATTGCGTTTCTAGATCTAAAAACAGTACTAGCGCCTAAATAACTAATAACTTGTACAAGTTTTAAAGAAAAAATGGCTTTAGTTAATATTGTTTTGAAAACATAAATTATTACCGTTTGATCACACTGAAAGTTATATAAAAATATGTACCATGTACATGTATTTATTTTTAAAAATCCTATGGATTCGTTTTGAAAATTCTTTTAAATTACTTAAAGATATTTTTTCCCCCGATTTTATGCTTTGCATTAATGTAAACTTTTAAATTTTGGATCATTCTAAAAGGGATCATTTTTAAACGGGGGAATTTTTTTATAGGACTAACATATAAAATAATTACCCCCTGGGACTCTTTTTCTACAAAAAAGATTTTTTTTCGGGTTGGGGGTCATTTGCAATATCATATAAAGGTTTGCATATTGAGACTATTTAACTCATTTTCAACATAGGATACATGAACCTGGCTTAATTCTGTGGGAAAAATGTTTAAAGACAATGGACTTAGAGTAAACAAAAAACTCTTAAGCAAAAAGAGGGGGAGGGGCTTAAACCAAATCACTTCAGGATCCGCCAATGCGTTTATTGTGGAAAGTCCCTCTCAAGAATTTATATTCAAATGGAAACGTCACTTCTTGCCGGTGGAGAGCTGTATTTTGACTATACTCGACACCAAAGGCCATTATTGAGCAAGCAGAATTTTTTTGTGCCAGCATCTACTGTGACACGGGACATCGGTCTAAACGGTCTCATCCGACGGACCGGTGAATTTGTGTCCAACAGTAAGATTCAAACTTGCAACGTAAGGATCAGCTTCCTACTCCATAGCAAACGCTCTACCATTAGGCCACGCGGGCGAATAAGTTAAATTTTAAAGATAATTATAATTTATAAGATTATTCCTTTTATAGATGAATTGTTTACAAGAAAAGCATAGGGCATTCTGTCAAGATGAAGCAGAGATTGCCTTTGCCAGTAGAAACTGGGTGATGGATTCCAGATTAGATGGGATGAGGAGGGCAATAACATTTAAACAAAGAATAAATACAACAAATCCTGAAACAAAAAGAATATTCCATCACTTCAATCGAGTTGAGAACTATACGCAGACAATACAGGACGAGTTCAGAAGATTCCTGATAAGTAGTTTTATGATGTTCTGCCCGGATACGCCTTTATGTTACGACCAAGGATATTTCTATCGCAACTATTCGTACCTAAGTCTCATAGGAAAGCAGGATTTATGCTCTGAATGTAAGCTGGTGGCGCGATGTCAGACTTGTAGTTGTGAACCAGACTGTGAAAGGAAGAAGGACTGTTGCATATCCAAATATGTATCGATGGACCCAGCAGAACCGATTAAAGATTTCACCGATCAAAAAGACGAACTCTCATGCTTAAGTACTAAATTAGGGTCAGTTTATGACTCTTCAGGAAAGGAGATAAAAATGCCTGTTGGTTCGTATTGGATGATCAACAAATGTCCGGAAAATTACCCTAGAAATATGGTATGGCGAAAGTGCAAGAGATTTTTACATTCAGGAGAACAGATGCAAGAGATTTACCACACACCTGTATTTTCATCGAAGACAAGAGACTCGTACCAAAACGTGTTTTGTGCGGAATGCTTTGGAGAACGTCCTGATGAACTTTATCCATGGAAAAAGGTTTATGTGTCAAACGTTGTTGATGAAGAGGAAAGAATTAAAGAAAATCCCAGTGTGAAAGGTAATGCTGTGGTCTTCACTCCACCTAAGTTCTTAGAAAACAAATTAAGGTGTATTAAGCCCGACATTTCGAAGTGCAACGTAACAGGACTGTGGCTGAAGTATGACGAGCTATTACAATGGGCCTGCGAGACTTTGCCCCAAACAGTTATCTTTTCTTCAGAAAAAAGATTCAAAAACGTGTACTGTGCTATGTGCAACACATTTGCACCAAAATTTACTCTTCCAGTGCATGAATTGACGACATTTGACTCCATAATATTTGGTACACTGGATTTAGATCGTTTAAGACAAACTCTTGGACTTTTTTCTTCCCTTCTAAGTTTTTCAGCCTTGGAGATGCTCTCTGCGTATCAGGTGGACGAGAGATGTAGTAAAGAGGAAATTTTTAGTCCTTTATTGGTATGTCCTATTATTAATTTCTTCTCCTTATACCATTTTGATAGACAATTTTCAGATCATTTATATATAATACATACAAAAATAATACATGAAAAAATCCCTGAAATTGACAACTGAAATTTGTCCGAAATCAATCGTGTTGAATAGCCAAAGCGAGTTTAATATGCTTTTAGGAGTTTGTATCCCTTACTACTACATTCGTACAGTTTATTTATTGCGATATTAGTAAATGGGTCTGCCTTTTCTAGATAGATTCCCTTTATCTTCACCCTTTAGACTTCGCTGATTTACCTTGGGAACTATGGGCACTCTTAAAATGCTATGCTTGAAACAATCTGACATTCATACTTCATTTTACGAAACTCATAAAAGATCGCAATATGTTTGTTTCATAATTGAACTTGAATTAAAATATAAAAAATACATAAAACATACAATACAGAGGATTTATGGATCTGTTCATATTTCGAGTTGCAAGAGACAATTTCAGCAACTTCGAGTCTAAAGATATTTTACCATGTTTTTTTTTCTAGATCCTTATTATATTCATCATTTTCATGTTTTTTATCAAAAAACGCGAACCAAACATCGTCCGTCTGCTGCAAATTTCACTACTTTGAGACAATAACTCGAAAATGGCTTTGCAAGACCTAAAGCTCGACTTCCTAAATAATTTTCGTCGTTTTAAAAGTTGGAATAAATTTATTGCATATCATACTGAAATGCTGTTTTTCCTCTTCTAGAAAAGATGCCTGCCTATTGAATGTGATAAATTCTACACCCAGAAAGGCCCTAAATGCCAAAGACGTATCGCAAGTGACCTCTCCGTGTCCTTCCTTGCTAGTTTCGCGGTCTGCAACACACAACCCGGTGTCAATGTTTTCACTTACCAACTCCGCAAGGAAATGATAAATCTTGTATTGCAAATGGATCAACAATCTAGAACCGTTAATGTAAATTATGCCTTACCGATCGTAACCAGCACGAACAGAATTTGTGTACCTGGTTTGATATTGGTTAGACCTAAGAAAGCCGAAAACATAATATCTGTATCCAATTACATGATACAATATGTAAAGAATCTCACCAGGAGAGGTCTGAATGGTTCGCTTTTGGAGATAAAAATTGGCGGCTTCGATACGTACTTCTTATTGAAGACGTACGTAATCGAGAACCTTATTGAACCGGAACAAGGCGATCAGACTCCCACTGTTTATAGCTATGCCGCTCAATGGCAACACTGTCCCAAAATCTATCTTCCCAAGGGATACCGTCTGAATTATTCTGATTTTGAAATCTGTATTCTGAATTACGATGTCTGTTTTGAAAGTTTTCGTGCAGAAATAAGCAAAGAGCGCGGAGTGGCAATATGCTTAGACCTTTATAAAGAAATTACTGATAACTTCACACGGTTATCGAGTGATGAAGACTCGCCCGAAACGTATTTTTCTGTGCTCTGTATGTCCGTCTCCTCATTTGGTTGTCTCCTAACTGTCAGTGTTAATTTAGGTACTCAACAAGTTTTAACTCTTCCTACTAAAATTAACATCATACTCTCCTTCTCCCTCTTCATGGCCAATACATTCTACACAACGTCAAGATTTTTCATTTACTACTTCCCATTATGCATGTTATTTGGAATTTTGTCTCACTTTCTTTGGCTTAACGTCCTGTGCTGGATGTCTGTATCTTGTTTGGATGTATTCAACACAATGTCTAACGTCATGAAGTTAAACTCCAACAGAAAACAGACCAAGAAGCTAATGATTTACCTCACTGCATGCATGACCATTAGTATGGTGATAGTGGCTATTCATATCCAGGTTAGTTATCAAGTTAGCGGTGGCTCAAGTCTAGGGTATTCAACCATTACCTGCTTCATAGCTGACGGCGCCTTGAAGATCTTTACCATGGTGCTGCCGGTTGCTTTGATGGTATTTGTGAATTTCATTCTGTTCGTGGCAATGACGTGTTGCATCAAGAAAAACATGGCTGCCTCGAATTCTCAAACAAGCAAACTTTTCAAGATATACATCAAGTTGTCCACCGTGACGGGTATCACGTGGGTATTCGGTCTACTGTATGAGGTAGTCGACGATCCTTTTCTCTCTCACACTCACACTCTTTTAAATGGTTCCCTTGGTATGCTCATTTTTATGGCTTTTGGATCACAGAAAATTTGTTCAAAAGTTCAATTCAAAGAAAAATCTTCTTCTCAATCGACAGCCCGAACCTCGAAAAATTAAAGAAAAAATAGTATACAGTGTTTATAAATCTGCTTTCTTGTTTTATTTGACATTTTTTCTAGAATTTTTTTCTCACTTTGAAAGTCCGATTACCTCCAGGTGGGGACACATGGAGAAATGGTGTGTAGATTATCCATGTGATTGATTTCAGGTGATTTATTTCTCATAAATTTTCATAATATCCCACATAACTCGAAATTACATGAACATGTATCTAAATTTTTATATTACATCTTGCAAGCTATAGTTATATGGGTAGAATTTTGTGCGATTAACAGCCACCGACTCGTGATACTTTTTGCCATTATTAATGTGTCATGTGTTCATCATCAAAAACGTTTAAAACACCAGTTCTGTACTCTTTCCTTCAAAAGCCACAACAGACTTGCTTCGAATGTTCAAATCTTAAGGGTGTTCGCAACTTTCGTATCAATAATCTTGTCATTTCCGTTAAAAAAAAACCTGGTTTATGGAAAATACATGAGCATAACACCTTTATCCGAGATATCATATAAAACTGTACGATTTTTTTTGTTTTTGTTTTTTTACATTGTATATAAAACTTGATTTGAGACAAGGTCGTCGTTTTTAAGTTCAATATGGCTGCAAATGAGCAAATTGAACACCATTTCTTCATATGGCTTCCATTAAAGAGCTCCATTCGAATTTATTTCAAGCCAGAAAATATTGCAACATGGAACCCCCTTTTATTTGGCGTCATTCGAATGAATGGTCTCCGCGTTATATAGAGGGATTCAACGTGCAACGAAAATTACACTCCTTACTCCTTGAGCAAACGCTGACTGTTAGTTTGTTTGAACATGTATCTAAATTTTTATATTACATCTTGCAAGCTATAGTTATATGAGTAGAATTTTGTGTGATTAACAGCCAACGACTCGTGATGCTTTTTGCCATCATTAATGCTTCATGTGTTCATCACCAAAAATGTTTAAAACATCATTTCTGTACGCTTTCCTTCAAAAGCCAAAACAGACTTGCTTCGAATTTTCAAATTCAAAGGGTATTCGCAACTTTTGTATCAATAATCTTTTCATTTCCGGTATAAAAAAACCTAGTTTATCGAAAAAAAACCATGAGCATAACACTTTTATCCGAGATAGCATATAAAATTCTACAATTTTTTTGTATTTTTTTTTTTACATTCAAATTTGTATATTAAATTTGATTTGAGACAAGGTCGTCGTTTTAAAGTTCAATATGGCTGCAAATGTGCAGAATAAAAACCATTTCTTCATATGGCTTCCATTAAAGAGCTCCATTCGAATTTTTTTCATGCCAGAAAATATTGCAACATGACACCCCCTTTTATTCGGCGTCATTCGAATGAATGGTCTCTGCGTTATATAGAGGGATTCAAAGTGCAACGAAAATTACACTCCTTACTCCTTGAGCAAACGTTGACTGTTAGTTTGTTTGATTTTGCTCCCTATCATGATCTTGATTCATTTAAGTTCATATTATTATTCATTTACAAATTTGTTCCTGCACAATTCTATATGAAAAAAAGTCAAACATTTCTAATGTTTTGCGGAGCGGGCATAACAAAAAATTGATGTTTTACCGCTGAGTGAGATGTTGGACCACTTACGTTACAGAATGGGCGGAGCTTAATCTCACTTTCATTCGATAGTGTTCAACGGTGACGGACCTGAGGTTACATCACGAAAGACAGTACAAAATACATGTACATGCATGTAAAAAAAAAAAAAATTAAAATCAAAGGCGTAGCAAAACATTATACATGGCTGCGTTCGATGGCAACATGCGTTTTGTCGGACCCAAAAACCACATTGTCTGCCTTAGGTCGTTCAAGGGCTAATAATGAGTCTTTATTTTAAATGTTATGTAAACTGTCGTTTTTCTATAATTTTTTTTTTAAGATCTGAGATTCCGTTGATGTGAAATTGTTTGCATATCGGATAAATACATTGTACATGTGTTTTTTGTTATTTTTATATATTCTTTTAGTGTTTTAATCTGTAGTGATTTTATAGCAAGTGATGTTTTTTTTTATATCTAAATGCTATGATAATTGATTAATTGATTTTTTACCCCTTTTTTTCTATGTACGTATGCAAACTATATAGAAATTAGAATACTTTAAAACAAAGCCATTATTATTTCATAACATTTTGTCTTTGTGTCTCTTAAGGTATTTATTGCAGTTATCGATAAAAAAATGTGAAAAATTGTGTAAATTATTGTTTTGCATAATTTTGATCCTGCACACGTGTTTTTCTTCGTTCGCAATGGCTTTTAACTTCATTTTATTTCAGACCAACTTAAAAGGGTTTTTAAAATTATACATGTATATTAAAAGTTTAAATTGTAGTTCTCTGAGCAGAAAATTCTGATTCTTTGTCTCTCTGGCATGATACATTGTGTATGGATACTCTATTTTTGTCTGATATATTTCACAGAATGAAAAAAAAAATAGTAAAGTCAAGAATCTAAAAGCAAAAGTGTCCTTTACTTGAAAATTGATTTTTTTTTTCTTGTTTTACGCCGAGTCGGCAATGCTTCAGCCAAATTTCGGCGGGTTTACTTGAAGAATTTACCTGAAGGAATATCAAAGAGGAACACACTTTCCCAATATGTAAATATTTTAAGCTTATAAATATGATGTTGAACTATATAGTCTGTACTGTCTAGCATACAATTCATGTAATCACTACAATTTAAGGAATAATTTTGCTGCATAGTATTTTCCCTTTCGTATGGCTGTCAAAATCTTTTAGCCGGATCATTTAGAAACAGGCTATGATCTGACAAATAACAAGCTACTGAATGAACATAATTTGATGTACTTGGCATTAATCCTCTCTCTATTCCTTACCATCCTAATTCTTAATGCCAAATTTCATCAAAATTGGCTCAAACCTTAAAAACAAAATATCAAGAAAAGATTGAGAACCCACATTGATTCAAGGCGTCAGATGAAAACAGATAGAAATTAACTCGACCTGCATGTGCCTTTTAAACAAACAATGGTGGTTGTTTAGATTTCTTTGATTTAGTTTATTCTTATTGCAATATTTTTTGTGTCTGTACCGTTGATATTTTCTGCAGTACACCTGTATATATGCTCATTGTTGGGATTAAAATTCAATATCCTCAAAACAGATTCTCCTTGTACAAATCTTAAGTTGTCCGGATATGAAGGTGCCTGGAAATAAAAACAAAGACATGTACAACAGCTGGAACACAAAGAACAGAAGAAGTATTAAGAGTCGGTTAGAGTATCTTTTAAAAAACAGAAATTAACTAGTATGTGAATAGGATGCTTAGCTTCGAGGAATGAAGAATATACTCAATGATCGTTGAAAGAAATATTAGTCCTTCAATATTGTCCCACAATTTTTGAACTCAATTTTCCACTAGCTCCGAAAGATGGAAATATTAAATTTAAAAGAACCGGACCTTCCTGTTTAATAAATTTGTCAATTCATTGATAACCTTTACTTCCCATCCCATTTTAGATGACACTGAGTTATTACTCACAATCCCAGATTCTCCTTTTTTAAACACAATTTTAAAAAAATTAGATATTCCTGATCCTAAACTAGTCGATAATCAAATACAACCTGCAGTCTTAACTTGGTGAAAATTCTATAACAAGTTTAATTTTTCCAGGATTGATTATATAGATTCTTACTTTATTTGCAATAATCAATTCTATAAACAGTTTGATTCGGAAATTTTAGAGGGATCGAGCTCGAGCCCTTTTTTTATCAGCAAAAAAGCATCAATAGTTCATTACCATAATGTATAATGAGTAATGAGGAAAAAAATGCACAAAAATATTTTTTTTTTAAATTACCATCACACCCCATTGTATGGAGGGTTTGGGCACACCAAGAGCATTGCATTTCACGTCAACATTATCTCCAAGATGAATCTTTGAAGGAGACACAGAAATATCCAATATTTTGGGAGGTACTCCTATAATATATAATAATTTATAGGTAAATGCTTAAACAATGCTTGTACCGTGTAATCTTACTGCGGAAATATTGGTCTCTGCTTGAGAAAACCCGGCCCCGGGATCATGAAACAGACTAAGACTTAAGTCAAAATTTCAATTATCTATAAAATCTTTAAAACTTGTTAAAGGAAACTCATAATTTGCATACAACAGCAGACTGATGATACAAAATCGGACGGCATTTTTATTTCTGGCTGCTTGACCTCTAAAAAAAATTCAGCATCTAAGGCATTTTTTGACTTAAGCTTAAGATGCTTCATGATCCCGGGGCCCGGACAGCCAAATCGGACTGATAAGCAATTAAAATACAGTGAAAACTGTTTTATTTCCGACATGCACTGGGAGACGAATTTGGTTTCGGAATAAACAGGGCGTTGGATAAAACAGCGTAATTAAACCTGGAAATTAATATAATTCGAAATCCTTTTAACGTCGGAATTTACAGTGCAAAGGATTCCACGAGTGACGGATTAAACGGTTTTCACTGTATTGTGAATTTCATATTGATCACAAATATCAGAAAAATTATATCCATTTTTGTTTAATTTATAAAAAAAGCAGCCCTTTGATTGACATTGAAGATTTTTAAGATGGAAAAGCCAACATTAAAGTTGGAAGGAAGTACCAACTTTAAAAAAAATATTGCGTGGCACTAATACGCTTTTTTGACCTTTTGTTTGGCTCCGGTAATGAACTTTTGCGAGAAGCACCGACTTCTATAGTTGACGGTTTACTTGGACATTTAAACTTGTATTAATGTACGGAGGATTAGAATTGATAAAATATATCCAAACCTTTCTAGTGGCCATAGGTCTAGTGTTAAGGGCACTTTTGGGAGTTGAGGGCAGGGTGGTTGTCGTTTTCTTCAAAAACTTATATGTGAATAGAACTGTAATCCTTTATTTACATTTAATTAAATGTTGAGCTAAATATTTATATTGTACATTGTGGTAGTGTAAAAGTAAGCCTTCAACTGTAAAAGTCAGCGCTCTTGGCAAAAGTTCAATATAAGAGTCAACCTTTTGGCAAGTCAGTTAAAATACATGCAACGGAGACATTGTAGAATTGTAAGGAAAACATACCTGGAGTATTACAGAGTCCGCCTAAGTTACATCCATTGTAATCCGAACAACAAGATTCGCATAAAACAACACCATCAGACTGTCGCCGTCGTCCAATTATTGCAGCTGCAGCTGGAGACTGAATACCATTGCACGCCTGGAGATGGAAAGATATGGAGATAACGAACAGTATTCAATATAAAAGTCCATAAAACAATACAAATTAGGAGCAAAGCAAACATGACCTCCAAAACATCAAAGGTGGGATCAGGTGCCATGGAGGAGTGAGCATCCCATGCTGACCGGTCACACCCGTCATGTGCTCCTTGTCATGATCGGAAATTACCCATTCATTAAATTTGGTTTAAAAAATATTGTAACTGTTTAAAAAATGGGAATTAAATAAATACATTCAAAGGCTTTTTCCTACCCACCTGCCTCCACCCACACAGCTGTCGAACAACATTTTTTACCGCAAGCTAGGAGTCTCAGAGGCAAACAGACATTACTTTAAACTTAAGGTTCATTGATACTCTGATAAAAGATATAACTCTTAATGACAGAAATGTCTACTATTCCTTTATAGATTAAAACTTTTGCCAAGCTGAAGGGTCTATTTTGTTCAATTTTGCTCCGGAAGCTATGCTACAATTGTTTGTATTTTACTTATAAAATTCATTCTTTTTAATCATTATACCCCCCGCTTGAAAAGCGGGAGGGTATATAGTAATCGTTATTTCCGTCCGTCTGTACGTCCGTCCGTCCGTCTGTTACGCTTTGGGGTACCCATCTCTTATCCGCAACTACTCTCATACCACTGAATGAAATTTGATGAAACTTTCACAGAATCTTTATTACATATTGCCATTGTGCACCTCCTATTTTACTTTTTGATCCGACACATATTTTGGGTTTGCCGGCCACAGGAAAACATGGACTTTTTCACCAGTTATAAACATATGGGAGGCGGGGGGGGGGGGGGGGTATCATTTAGTGAGCTCATCGCTCACAGTACCTCTAGTTTAGGTTCAAGTAACATTTCATATGAATGAGAAGAGGGTTTATCAACCTTAAGATGGTTCAAAACATAATTTTTAAATGACCCAAATTAGACGGATAGAATGATTTAAAACTCTTTGTTCCTGATCTTCATTACACGGGTCTAAATACTGTCTGTATTGATATAAAAAAAACTTACAAATTTGTTCATGCAGCCCTGCATGTATAGAACTCTGCCGTCTCGAAGGAACTGCTGAAGGTAGCATTCCTGAAAAAATGATGTTTTGCAAAACTACTGTATCTTCACCCCCGTTTTTTTACGCCCCTTCGCCCTACCCTCATTTGGACGTATTTGAAACATGGCAATTCAAAGAATACAGGATCATTTTTTAACAAAAATATAAGTGGGTGAATTTAAAACGGAACAAAGTTGTTTGCAAGTGTGAAAGTGCAAAGGTTACAAGGGGCAAAAGTAAATAAATCACGAAATTAATTTAAATGAAGGAAGTTAAAGGGAAGTCAAGAATTATACCAAGAACAGTTAGTTAAGAAAAATGAAAAAGCAAAATCAAGATATTCTTCATATTCCAGTAAAACAAATGTTAGATGTGTCCGTCTTAGGTTTAGTTCATTTCATTATTTAAAGAACAAAATTTAAAGCTATATATGCCGTATTAGTGTTTTATTTTAAAGTAATAAATATATGTGGTGTCTCATCAAGTTATATAAGTTATATACTTTCTGCAAATAAGACAATTCCCCTCCATCACTTTTAAAAGTTATGAAATATTATTTGGTAAAAATTATTTTCTCTCCGTGTCGGATAAAAACCCGCCTCTTATTGTAATATTTATGATCACGTTGTCTCGCATGTTTACAGCAAACAATGGTCCAGTCTCGTGAATGAACCGAAAAGCATGATGGTCTACTACGATATTACTACAAACACGTGAGTTAGGGATTGTCAATATTGAGAGCACCTCAGAGTTGGTTACTTTTTGTACCGAGGAATAATCACGTGCAATTGTCTTTTCCATGGACATTTTCGGTTGGGTGAACTTCTACAGATGTCAGCGACTATGGATAAAGAAGTGTGGAAACCATGTTGTGCCAAAATGAAATAACTAATACAAACAAATGATATAATTTGATCAATCAAAATGGTTATTAGATACATTCGATTCTGCATTTCTTAATGGTTCAAAACAACAAAAAATATTCCACAGAATATCATGTATAAATCTGCACAATATACCGAATGCCAAAACCAGAATACTACTAAATAATATAAATATATTCTTTACATATGAACCACAGTATTTCTGACCCCCTGAAAATAATATAAAAAATCTTGCAAATAGGTTATCAGCATTGGCTCGGGCTAATTCGAAAGTGAAATTTGAAGTTTGGCAGTAAATTGTAGTGAATGAATAAAATTTAGTCATGTTTAGTAGTGAAAGATATTGGAACCTATTTTACTTGTCAGATTTCTTCGAGCTGGTTGATTTTTATTCTAACTGTTCTATCCCCCCACCCCTCAGATGAGACCGTATAAACTGAGGCCCCGTGTCGCAGTAGGTGCTGGCACGAAAAAGATCCCTCCCTGCTCAATGGCCCTAAGTGCCGAGTATAGGACAAAATTTGCAGCTCTCCATCGGCAAATGGTGGCGTCTCCATATGAGTAAAAAATTCTCGAGAGGGACGTTAAACAATCAATCAATCAATCTATTCCCCACCCACTTAAAAAAACCCGATGCTACCTACCTGAATTAATTTTTCTTAAAGGTGTTAATCGAAATGCTTGGTTGTGCCCTCAAACTGGAATAGTTTTTAGAGGCCTGGAATTCCTTGACCAATTTTATTTTATTAGCCTAACTATATTTCTAAGAAGGCAAGATGTATGGTATGTAAGTTTCATCTACATATGTTATGTAGTTCATATTAAAAAACCAAAAGGGATAATTGACGATATCCCATTCAGGGTGTAAACATAGCAGTTTAAATTACTTTCCATACATTGTACTTGACATAAAATATTTTTTGCGCATAATGCGCTCCATACTGAAGATCCGTAAATGTTCATCCAACCGAAAATGTCCACTAGCAGTACAGCACGGGGAAACTCTAAACAAACGGACCTGTACAATGGAGTGGGGAAAACTTTAATTTTCATCATTGTTAATCATTTGTATGCAAATATGAGCATGGGATTAGTAGATAATAATGTACATAATGCATCAAGTCTTTCTGAGAGCGATTTTAAAAAAAACTAGCCTTTTTGAAAAACACATGTAGTATTTTATGTAGTAACCCATAAATGCATTAAATGCAACTCATTGAGCTGATTGGTCTATTTGTGTCCCTCACTGAACAGACGTCACAAAATATATTTTCCTCGACCTGATGATTCTCGCGATGCTTTTCCCGCGCACATGCGCAGATCCAGGATAAACGTCAATCGTTTATAAATATGCATGAGGATATCGTGTTCTTTTCCTGACCAGTACTTTGTTAATACCGAATAAAATTTCGTCGAATTAGCAAGAATGCTTCATTTTTGGTAGCTTATCATACTCCAGAAATTTTTGTTCGGTTTCAGCTGTGCAAAAATACTGTTTAACACGGCATACATATCTTTAAAAGATCCATTTACATTTTGTATATTGTAAAAGCATAGCATTTCTTCTTTGTTGAAATAAAAGAAAATGTAAATAAAATTATGAAAGAAATAATTTATTTGGTTTTTCGTGATTTCTTTTATAATAATGTTAGAAATATGACATTCTCTAAAGGATCCAACGATTACTATAAAATCTACCTTAAAAATTAGTTCTATGTTCTGGGACTTAAATTTCCAGTTTGATACATTCTTTTTCTGCATTGTCTTTTTATATATACCTCCTTCTAAATTAAAGCATAAATGTCATTTACAATTCCATTTCCTACCTCGTGCGTACCACATTTAACGGAATTAGTACAGAAAGCAGGGGATATGACGTCATTACACATCATACAATCCAAACCTACAAAACAACAAAACAAAAAATTATTCTATTTTTACAGTATACTCAGTAGATATATTTTTCACCGTGTTTTAATTTATTGATAGGAAAACTTTGTCATCGGTGTATTTTCCAACTTCACATTTCATTTGAAATTACCTTTTAATTTTCTTTCCCATCTATATTGCTGAGTAAGGGATTCACAGAAAAATAATACTTAATTAAAAACAGCAAGGTTTCTTGTACGGGAAAAGACACAAAAACTAAGCACACATTTTTGAAAATCAACATTCCGAAAATTGAATAGTGTATTTATTACTCTTAAACTTTCAAAATGTCTAAATAAATGATCAATTGCATCCTTGTTACTAATAATATTACCAGTTGATTGCACAGGACTATGGGTGTTTGGTAAGGTTGTTTCCAAACTTTGACTGGTTGTATGAGTTTGCATAGTTGTTGGTGGTGATGAAGTGGACGGACGCTCACTTGTGGTTTTCTCTAGCAATGTTGCTAACACCCTTGTTGTCACTTGTTGTGTTGGTGTTTTCACTTGTTGTGTTGGTGTTGTCACTTGTTGTGTTGATGTTGTTACTTGTTGTGTAGGTGTTGTCACATGTTTTGTTGATGTTGATGTTTTCTCAGTTGTATGCTTTAATGTTGTTGTGCTCGACAAAGCCACGGTAAAAACGTGATTAGCAAACTGTAAGCCATCTGAGGCGACACAAATGTACTGACCAATGTCCGCCGTGTCAAACCCGGAAATGATCAAAGTTTGACCGTTGTGCTCGGTCATTGTGTTTGAAGGCAATTGGCCTTTCGGCTATACAAGAAATGGGGAGATGAATAAACATAAACAAACAAACAAAAAAAATAATAATTTATGTAAGCTATTGACAATTATTTACATAGAACCCATGCTATTTCATTAAGCCAGGTTATGGAAATCGGTGCCTTTGTGTCAAATTAAGTTTACATTTGTAATGATTTTTTATGCAGGTTAATTAATAATTATTTGATATCTAGAAAAGTTTAATGATGTACTTTGTTTAGTCTTCAATATGGTTTAATATAAAGAGGTCGAAGTTCTGCTTTGAAAAAAGCTATGGAATCCACACATTACTCACTGATATCCATGTCACGTGAGGGTTGTTTCCACCAATCACAACACATGTTAAACGAACTTCCGCTCCTATTTCAATGTGGTAGGTTTGGTCCGTAAAGATGATTTGTAAATTGTTCACTGACGAATGAATAAATTAAATATAAAAAACATGTTATATTTTTTTTTTCTCATATAGGCCTTTATGGCTTTTAAAAGTATGCATATTATTAATAATAACATTCATTTAAACAGCGGATCTTTTACGTATGAAATATCTTATAAACTAATCCTACCTCTCATGAATAATTTTACAGATATAAATTTAAAATATGAACTATGTATTTTTCCGCAATAGCTGCAGCAACATTAATTGTTTGAACTATTTTTAACATTCCTATCATCATTATTTCAAGTACAATATAAAAAAAAATACATTGTAACACATCAATAAATCTTTGGAGACAATAAATTGGAAAGAAATAAATGGTGAAATAAAAATTGCCTACCCGTCTGAATTGGTGAAACAAGGAATAAAAGAATCATCAACACATGGACTGGACGTGCAAAATAAAAACAAACTTTTTATTTATTTCTAAAATATTTTTTTTTTTTTTTTTTAATTAAAAAAAATATATTCAGATAGACACAGGCCCAGTAATTATATCGCGCTCTTTGATTAGAGAAATAAATAACGCTCTTAATATTGCATGTATAAGGTGAGGATTCTTCAAGTTGTTTTTTTTATTGGGGGAGGGGGGCGTTCAATTCAGGAACCCCATAAGGTTTTCAACTTATAAGAAATAATAGGAGCACTGATAATCAAGGTACGCATATATCAGGACAACATTAACAGTGAATCTTTAATGTTTATCATTTGTTTACATCTATACCGCTAGAATATACATGGGGTGAGGGTATCGACCTCTAATCTATGATCCTTTGCATTTTTCTAGCACTACTGTACTTATAATGAAAATTTTGACCATCTCTTACTTATTTGGAATGAAACAGTAAATTCTGAATTTGTTAAAGCTTTAATTTCACATAAAAGAACAATAAATATAAAATATGGAAAACAAATACAGTGAAGGGCCCTATAAATTTATGTTTGTATATTAAAGTAGATAATACTCACTTGCACTTGAGACATCCATTTTGACCGTAAATTGTTCTGTGACATTTATAACACAGCTATCATAACTTAATCGGTCTGACAATTATCTCAAAACCTAAAACACCATTCAACTTGAAATCTCGAAATTTGAAGTAATTTTTATTAACGAAGAATAAAATGAAGAATGTTGATTTTAAACTTTTAAAAATATACAATTATATATTCCAGTATACTGTAGCATTGTTTATTTTTTTTGGCTTTTCAATTCCTTCATTTCTATAATCATTATTAATTTTTTGGTTGTTTCTTATTGGCATGACCTACAAATTCAAAATGCCATGTAGGTCACACACACATTATTGCTCTAGCCAAATACTATCCTTCTTTCCATCTTTATCTCTCTTTCATTAAACATTCGTTCTTATATACCTGTACCTATGCTGTTTGAATTTGCGATATAGATATTAACCTTCTTTGATTATACAAGTTCGATAAAATGACCGACACTGTACTTTAGATCTATAAATATGATTGTATCATGGCTGCGGTGTTTTTCCTTTGAAGTAAAGTGTACAATAACTGGAGATACACCGATGGGCGGAGCCAGCAAAAACTGTGCCGTGTAAATAAATTATTGAACACTTACGCGATTTCATCATTTTAAATCACATGTATATTGAATCTGAATTACAGAATGAAATGGGCTATAATACAAAGGCTAAATTTCTGCAAGTGAAATAAAAGTCTTTTACATAAATAAAATTACAGTGCGTATCCCAAACTACTAGATGCTTTTAAGGAACTCTGCAAATATTCAATCCTCCACAACGAGAAATCAAGTTCTTGACACGAATTTCACACAGAATTATATTAAAATATCACACCTATTGTAATAAACCGCTTTAGCAAAAGAAAAAAAACAACATCTTTGCATTGTTCTTTGCTCAACGAGAATAAGTGCAGATGTACTGCATCCACAGATGAAGACCCTGACACAGGCTTTTAGTGAACGCGACAGCTCTCAAATATGTCAAATGATCAACGGGTAACTTTTTTCTGGATTTTCGAATAACATATGAGTTTTCCTTCTTAACTGTACAGACTGATTTTTTTCCTGTTTGATATCCAAAGGTTTTCTTGTGATATTCATTAAAATAAAATCCGTGCTTAAATTACGACGGGATGCTGCAATCCGACGTCCTTTCTCACGAACACACACACGCAAAATGAGTTTATTAAAAATACTGGCAGGAAGGAGAGATTATCCATGCGGTCCATGCGGTCACCTGACAAAAACTACATTTTCTATTGGTGTAATTAAAAATCATGCATATTATTTATAATATGACGTTTGATTGGCCATGATACAAGAAAGTTATTGAATATTTATTATGGTGTATCCTGATTTATTTGGACGAAGGGCGGAGACTCGTGCTTCACACTCGTCACCGCCCTTCGCCCAAATAACTCAGGATACACCATAATAAATATACAATAACTATTACTTAGCTAGTTTGTTCTTGTCCCTGCTATTTTCAATACATGCAGTAGTAGTGACTAATTCCCCCAAAACCCTTATATTCCTTTACTCTATCCTACTTTGACAGTAAAAATCACTAAGTATTTCTTTGAATTTGAATGTTAAATAATTCTAGAAATTATGTACCATCATGTCTTTTGAAAAGCTGCTGAGAAAAAAAAAACAAAAAACAAAAAAGTGCAAACACGGAAGTTGATGAAGACTTTTTTATTCAATATGAACAATGATGCTGGAAGATTCATTCAACCAACTTAACCATTTTGAAATTGATTCCAAACTATATGAATACCTACTTCTGCAAAAAAAAAAAAATATGTAATTCTAAAAAATGAACCATCCGATTAATCAAAACTATTAATGAATCATGATTGTATTAGCGCCAATTAGCCAGCCCTTTGACCACAAACACGTTGACACTGCCCCCAGGTATTAAAATTGTTTTCGTTTCCTTGGCAACCGCCATAAATGAATCTCTCGCACCTTCTCGTTGCCGCGTTAAAGTGCCACCTGGGAATGCTGGCTCGACAAGGTCCTGTAACTTCTGGTAAAATACAAACACGACTTACAGCTCCTGGAATTAACAACAGCAAGATAGTCTCATTATCTGCATAATGGTACATGTATGTGTTATTTGCATTTGTAACATTTTAAAAGTAATACATTTTTGGGACAAATTAGACTCCTGGGATAAGAAGGAGGTCAAATAAGCTAAGGGATGTACACGTAAGTGTGTTCAGATAGGAACTCTCTAAATAAAATTGGTAAAACGAACGATTTGACACTTTCTCATAACAAACACCTACTGCTTAAATAAGTGCAAGCTTTTTTCATCTCTATGCATTTTTCATAAATATAATCAAAGAAATAGACTTCATTTCGAAATTTAAATAAGAAATGTTTTAAAGTAATCTGTGAAAGGTAGCCTCGCCTCCAGTCAAATTATGGTGATTGAGAAGCATTAACCCCTTTTTTCAAATAAGAAAAATAAAAAAAAAATAATGAATTTGGACACAATTAAAAAAAAAAACTGGTTACCTCCTCCGCCTCCGGCGTTTCCACATGTGTCCTCACACTGCTGCCGGGTAATGAAGTTATTTCCGTTTCCTGCGCAGCCGCCGTAGATAAATCGCTCACACTGACCGCTAGCCATACTCCAGCTCCAGCGAGGGATGAAGGCCCGACATGGACCAGAGTCACCAGGCAAACGACACATTCCTGAAAATTTGAAAATATTTTGATTATGATAAGCAAAGCGGTGTTTTGGTCCCCTATCGGCAACTAAAGTGGAATCAGGTTCGCGAAAAAAAAATATTAAAAGGACATGGTTCCATCTAAATAATCGAAGCGGCTTGTATAACAGAAGTTAGTTACATATATGTTCGGAAAAGGTGTTAAATACATCGAAAACACTTACGTTACATCATAGGACATTTATCACGTTGTCGTCAAAAATGATGGATTACACTTTCTTGAAGAATAAAGATACTAACCGGGGGCAGGTCCGTCATTTCTATCACACACACGGCGACATTCCATTAAAGTGTTAAAGCGGTTCCGGTTCCCTCCACATCCGCCGTAGACGAATTCCTGACATCGCCCTGTGTTAGGGTTATACGTCCAGGAAGGAAAGAATCCCAAACAGTTCCCTGACTGCGCATGCTGCAAGAGGCAGGGACTTCCTGAAATTTACGACCAAAAGGGAATTTAAACTTCGCATGCATAAAGATTTATGTATTCACATTGGTACACCCTACGTATTGAAATGTATTGCGCATGATGCAAATGTTCAAACATGAAAAAAATGGAATCATTGTCAAAAGGAATCCCCAAGTTCTATGTTTTGTATTATGTATGTTTATTAGCCATTATTAGTTATGCTTTTTTAATACAAACGTGCACATAGATTGTAAGATTTATCATAGTCAAAACAGTTTGTTGGTATTACCTGGTGGAAACACTCCCCCGTCCCCTCCCCCTCCGCCACCTCCCCCACACCTCTGCTGACAGGCTTGGAAGGTTTGGAAGTTGTTTCTGTTGCCTCGGCAACCGCCATACTGGAAGGGCTCACACTGCCCGAGAGCGGGATTAAAGAAGAAGCGGCGCATGCTCGCACGACATGGCCCCTGGACGGGCGGAAGTGTACAGACATCACCCACTTAAAGAAAAACAAAGAAGGTATTCATGTTAAAAAGGTAAAATAACTGTTCTGTAGTAACTGATCTGTTTTTGTCTTCAAATTCATAATTATTTTTTTTCAATCATGATATCGAACTATTCATAACAGTGGCGTAGCATCGTTTTTGAAAGTGGGGGGGGCCAGACAGAGAAAAAATTTTTTTACTTACCTGAAAAAGTTGACAAGCAAAAAAAAAAAAAAAAAAAAAAATAGAAAAGTTGCTCAGTCGAAAATCCTATTTCGTGAGGGGGGGGGGGGGGGGAAATAAAAACTATAAAAAAAAAAGAAAACTTTTTTCAGTGTCAACTACTTTCAATACCAATTCTAATACTTCATTTTCGGTACATCACTATAAGTGGGGGGGGGAACCAGGTTTTCAATTAACATTTCCTATAGTATAAGTAAGGTTGGGGAAAAAAGTGGGGGGGGGGGGGCCCCCCCCCCCCCCCCCCCCCCCCCCCCCCCGTTGCTACGCCCCTGCATAAAAGGATATCATCGTGACGGTCCCATTGTTTTGAAAACATTTGTTCAAAGAGGTGCATAAAACAGTAAACCATTGAATATGAATTTAGCAACCTCAATCCCATTCGTGGAATACATTTATAAAATATTTTGTATTAACATTATTCACATAAAAAAATTGGTAATTTTTCCAGGCCTTTTTCTGAAATCTTCAATTCTTTTTAAATTTCTGTGCCCTTGATATTTGATAAATTTTCACTGATGCTTACATCTCGTTTTAATATAGGAAGTGATGGGCTCCTTAAAATAATTTGCAAGAACAGAGAAAATTCGAGTTTAAATCTGCATCCCCAATGCTTTGAACATTACCAAAATTACTTCGATTCTACAATTCCATGCAAAAAGCAGCAAAACGAATGAAGTGCAATCAACTTATTATATATATAGATTCATCCAACCTTTAACCTTTTCTAGAGTACAATTCGTTAAGGTAAATCGGTGTGTAGGTAACTAAGGGAGTTTGAAGACCACTTTGCTCACCCGCACTATAGCACCAAAAGAAACACAATTCCAGGCACCTTCGGGGTGTCCTCAAAATGGCCTCGGAGCTGTAATATACATACCGACTCCCCCATTGCCGCAGATTTGCTGGCATTCTTGTCTGCTGGGAAATCTGTTTTCGTTTCCCTGGCAACCAGAATAGAAGAAAGCACGACATCTTCTAGTGATGGCGTCATAATAATAACTTAAGAACCTGCCTCGACAGTTTCCGGTTAGTCTTGGTAAATAACAAAATGGTTGCCTAGCTAAAACAAATAGAACAGATGTATTTCAAATTAATATTACAAAGCTATTTTCAAACTTTTTCCCCTCCCACATTTTACGTATTTTTTCTATTGTTCATTTTTAAACAATTTAAACTAAAAATAAATGTATTTGTCGATCATAAACTACTAGAGACTGCAAGAAACAGGTTGTGTATAAGATTGAAACACTATGCACTTGGCGGCAACAAAGTTTGAAATTGTTATTTCTAGCATATAGATTACAGGCAAGGTCACAAGGTCATTGACCTATGTGTCATTTGAAAGAACTTAAGTTAGAAGGCATGCTTACAGTGTACCAAATATTAAGTCTCTGTCACTTATGGTTAAAAAATTATTGAGAAGGTTTAAATAGGCCTTTTTAGCATATAGGTCACAGTCAAGATCCCAACGTCATTGACCTTTGTGTCATTGGAAGAACTTAATAAGTGGACTATACTTATAAAAAATAAAGTCTCTATCTCTTACAGTTCAAAAGTTATGGCGAATGTTAAAAAAAATTTAGCATATAGGTATCGGTCAATGTAATAAGGTCATTAACTTTGGTGTCTTCTGAGAGAGCTTAATTAGTGGAGTAAGTATTCTTAATATGCAGTCCCTATCTCTCTTAGTTCAAAAGTTTTGGCGAAGCTAAATTAATCCTTACCTTGTTCAAGGCCACCATCAGGCGGAGTGACATCTACAAATGTGTTTGTGTTATCTAAATTATTATCCGGAAAAGTAGTTCCTATTGCTACCCCTCCCGGGCCCCCGGGTCCCATTCCCCCTAGCCCACCATTTACTCCTAGCCCGCCATTCCCCCCTCCTAGACCAGTGTTGAATCGTTGACCTATTCCACCATTTATACCGAGACCGCCATTTCCTCCGAAGGCCCCACCGCCTCCGAAATCTTGTGTTAGGACCTCATTAGTGAAAAGCTGTAAAAAAAGATATGTTGAAATTTATATCAGTCATACCATGAATTATTAAATTATGAACCATTTTGACCATCTTGGTTTTTGCATCGTTTCCTGATTAGAAAGCACACATGTTGTTAGTCATGACAGCTTTTAAAAACCCCTAAAAAAGTCCAAAGATGCTTTGATTCATTGATTAAAATTGTATCTTGTTTTACGGCACATTCATGAAGAAGATTCTTTAAATTAATGCTTTTGTTAACAATGAAAAAAATGGCGACTGACGCTATTACTTCGAGCATGCGCTACCAACCTAGCTAGCGTTCTATATCAAGAGATCAGCGCTAAATTCAAATTAATTAACATATCAATATCCATAAATAATGCTTTCACGTGTGTTATAAATACATCTCAAAGCTTCATTAGACATATGACATATAATAACATTAATTAAACTGTTGGATTATCATGGAAGCTTTAAAGAATCCTTTATGATATTTCTTAGAACAATTCTCAGGTAAGGTTGGACTTTCAGTAAGGCAGGGCATTCTCGACGTTACATACATGTAATTAGAATCTTAAAATTACACAGCTTTCATTCACTGTTGAAATATACATTGGATAAAATTTCGGGAAATGTCAACTAGTGAATCGAATAACCAATGACATTGTCTCGTCCGGCATAGAGGTGGAGCTTAAATCGTCCCATGGTTCTCAACAACAATTTAAAGTAGCTGATATTATTAATTTCTTAACCAATGAGAATCTATTCGCCATTTGACATACGCTTATGCCGTAGCGACGAGAATGCCATGCCTTACTGAAAGTCCAAGGTTAACTGAAAATTGTCCTAAAATACATATCATTTTATGCTTTGACACAAATGTGGATCGGAATAAAACCTACAAAATTATTACCTTTTTTTAAAATTTACTGTCATATTCGACTCTTTTTTTCTAATTTATTTCACCTAAGAAGAGTTCTCATGAAATCTGCATGAGTTTCATTTGATACTCGTGCAACATCTTTTCCAGAACTCTGAATGAACTTCGTCCCTATTTCATTTTGATTACAGTTGGGGAACTTTAAATGCTATTAATCTAATCAACTTTTCTTAAATGCCACTTATAAATTACAAATACTTCGACGTCACACCTAACTGCGGTAAAAACCTCTTGAAATAATAAGTTTCCGTTAAGTACTGTCCATAGGTGTTATGTATATTTCACGTTTGTTCATTTTTCTGCAAGTCAGAGGGAGTATTATGACCCATCAATGGTCATTTTAAACCAAGGTCCTTATCAGCTCCTGTTACAAGAGGTTAGGGGTCATGGTGTATCAGGTACTACATACATTTTTGACCATATTTAATGTTTGTACCTGCGAACCGTAAAATAACGACGAGTTTGGCAGGTGTTTGCCATCGCCTACATTCATGATGGTACATCATTATCCATTGGCAATGAAGTTGGAGGGGATATAGTGCTTTTGTGTGCGCATGCGTGTGGGTGGGTTAGTGTATGCGCATCAGAAGTATCAGTTACGCAAGTGATATTATTTTATATTAAGATATATGTATTTTTTTTTCGAAGGGATGTTCCGTTTTGGTGTACCCTTATTTACTTTCATGGAAGATACTTCATCTTTTTTTTTATTAATTTGTTTTTAACACACATTGAATTTATTTTGCCTTTTTCTTTTATCATTCAAATATTTTTTTGAACAAACTGTCTATCTGAAATCTTCGATTCAAACATGAACCTCTAAGCAAAACGTTATCCCCAACATCACACCTACATGTTTGATTTTAAAAAAATATGGAGAAAGTATTTGAACACATTTTCATCTGGTCTGTCATTTTTAAATGTTTACTTCAGGTGTGATTATTTGCATTTCCAACTATCACAAAATACGTTACAGTTTATGTTGGACCATAGATTAATTTATCAATTTACGTAATCGATATAAAGGGAATACAATTGTATTTAATGACATTGAGACCAATTTTGAGTTATCGTTCTTATTTAGAGTAACTAACGCCTTAAGATAGAAAATTAAGCATTCATTGATTTTTTCATCATTTCAAACACATGTAGGATATCTATAAAAATAAGTTTTGTATTTTATGTAAAAGATTAAAACCCTGACAAATTACGTCGTTACACTTTTTAATTGATTAAGTCGGGATCGAATTCACAGTAATTATTAACCGTAGTCTGTTGATACACACGTTGCCTAACCCCACTTGTCAAATCATAGCCTTAAGTGATCTGCCAGTACAGAAGCGCGTGGCAAAAAATCACGTTCTGTATGATTTACGGCTCCAGCTTGTGGTCAGTGAATATCAATAATTGACAGGCTGATCGTTTTCAATGGAGGTCGTACCTTTACTGTCCTACTTATTAAGGCCCAGCGCCCACAAATATATAATTATTTAAATTATTTTATTGTAAAAATCGAGGAGGTGGATTTCTGTTGCAAAAAAAAAAAATCTTCCCCCTTTTATTTTATACATTAATGTTGAGAATGAGAATATGAACTTATGAGAGGAAAGTACATATTTTAGAAAATATGTGGTCATTATATTTGTTTTCTTTTTCATGTTCAACATTGAAACTGATACAGTTGTATACACCGAATGTGTGGAGGAGGACTAGTTTACAGTCGATGAACATAAAATTTGACAGAAGTTATTGCTATAGAACCAGTTTGCGATGGAGTTCAATTTACGAAGGGTTGTTTTGGCCATTGAATGTCATTGGTCGTTCTACTTTAGTGGGAGAATAACATTGGGTGTTATTAAATAAGATATAGGGAAGGTCAAAATAATGATGTTTATTTGTGTGCAATCAAGATTTCATAAACAAAGGTGAGAAATGAGCCTTTATGAAAATAATTGAAAATGCCGTAAAGCCTCTGAAAAGAGAAAAGCACAAATCATAATTACATTATATATTTCACCTCTTTTGTTACTAAACAAGAAAGTTGTCTTGAGGACAAGTCGGTCTAAAAATAATCCGGTTTTGACATTTCCTTGCCTGCATTGTCTAAAATGTACATAAACAGACGTGCAACGCAGTCAATCTAATGATAAAAATAATAAAAAGAAAATATATAAAAGAATAAAAACCCAAATATATTCACTTCAGAACAAAATATTGAAGTAGAACATTTTTAAATTAATTTTTTTTCTATCGTTATCTTTACTGCTTAAATAACATATTTCCTAACAGGTCTTTTATACATTTATAATAACATGTATTTTTTTTCTTTTCCAATTCCTAGATGTTAGAAGGGAAATTTGCGAATTTGTACATGTACATCATCATCAGAGATTAGAAGTCCGTGATAAAATTATAAGACTGAGGTGATTAAAGGAAAACATTGAGTCTCAGAAATTTTTCTGTCGTTCACATGTTGCTTTAAAAAATAAAAATAATTTGAATAGTGAAGATAAAGTATTTTTCAAACTATTACAATTATTATAAAAAATATACAATTATATTTGTTTTTAGAAATTTATATATTTCTATACTTATATAAAAGAAAAAAAATATGACTTACGATTTTCAATAACATATGATTGATTTGTTTAAAATATCACTAGATAAGAAAAAAAATAAATTACCTGAATTAATAAGATTAACAGTGAAAATCCTAGATACATAATTACTCTTCTCTTTTCTACAAAACATAAAAACAAATGCACAAACGTCCATGGACTTGTAGGTCACGTGGTATCATAATGGCGTCGCCATGAACGTTTATTTGCTTTTTATCGCCTTCGTATTTTTGGGAGAAACCGCCTCAAAATAATTGCACAGAAGTTTCTCTGTGTGCTTGTGGATTTTTTCCACACCTGAAATCATTAGTGAAGGAAACAAACAAATTATCAGTTTGTGAACAATTTGGGCGTCTTTGTTTATTATTATTTGTGACTTAAAACAATAAATAAATGAGGAAGACTTCAAGAAAAAAGAATTACCTAATATTTCTTAAGGTTAATTTCGGGGCCTACTGATCATCTAATAAGCGCTTCATAAACGTGTTTTTGAAATCTTATAAGGAAATGTGGATGAAATTAAAACTGATTATTATACATCTACTGAATTTTTCCTATGTAAAAGTTAGGCGATGAAATGTGAATAATTCCCTAGAATTATCAGATAATTGACTACTTCCCCGTGCTTTAGTAAAATGAGCTAATCCCTGCTTTAGAAGCAAATTTCCCGGTTATCCGTAAATCTTTTGATTTCACTTTTGTATCGGTCTAATATGTTAATGGACTCATCCCCGTGTATTAGTCTTGAAACTAATTCCCCACCATTCGTAATCCTCTATTTGTACCGATATAATAAAACAGTTAAAAATATATCACTGAGGGAGTTAGCAACATTCCAATTCCCCTCAACCAGGACTATTTCCCTCGGCGAAATATTTCTGGCCGGCCTTGGAGGATTGGAATCTTTCTGACCCCCTCTATGATATACTTTAACTGTATAATACTCGTACATAGGTCATGTACAGGAAGCCTTTTATGACACATAAGTCAAGATCAATATCAATTCATTTTTTATACATGTATTTGAATTATATATATTATGGATTCAAAAATTGGCCCAACGAGAACCAGAGATCAGAGATTTTCCTTCTTATTTTTGCAGGGAAATGATTAACGTCAAATCCTAAAACTGACAAAAGTCGTATATCATTAGGTCAAGATAACGCCAAGAAATTTTTGAATATTTAGTGTGTAATGAAGTTAAACTATATACCAGGAAATGGTTTTCTGTGGTAAATAAGGAGTATGGAATCATCAAACTAAATTGAAAACTTTGTAGAATTTGTTGTATATATTAATTCTCTGTCTGTATTATGATCTAGATTCCAATTTTCCACTGAGAAATCATTGACTGTAAAGCTACATATCCGTAGAGCTTCCAACTTTGTTATTTTATGAGAGTATGTTTAGCCCGAACTTTAGATCATTAATTCATATATATACATATATATATATATTTTAAGTCAGTCGATTTCAAAATATTTTTCGAAAAAATGTTTTTCAAATTCGTTTTTTATTTTATATTAATATTTCTATTTTTAAAATATATTTTTGAATGAATCTATCTTTCATGAAAAATTTTAGAATTGAAGGAAAAAAGTTGACATTCTTCAAAGTAAACCATCTCCCATGCAGATTTGTCGTTCCTTCCTCTCTCAGACACCTCTTCAATGGACTCACGTCAAGATTTTTGACATAAAGTATAAAACGTGATATTTGCAGGAATATCTCAAGTTAAATTAAGAGTTCTGGATTAATTCTAGTGAATATCTATCTAAAAAGTCAGACATTAGTATAGAAATTAAATCATAATGAATTAAAACACGCACTATTTCTTAAATTGTGATATACACGAGCCAACGACAGAGGTGAATGTATGAGCCGATGGTAGAGAGCGCAAAGTATAAGCATTATATATTTATATCCACTGAATATTTTCTCCTTTATTTTTAAAGAAAACCCATTGCGTTAATCACTGCATGCGTTAACAAACGTGTCCAATAATTATCAGTTTAAGATTTTTCAATTAAAACATTTCACCACTTTACAGCATTTTCCGTGCAAATACTCTAGCAACACATGGGCCTAAATATTTTACAGACCTTTTAGAAGAATATTTACATATGATCTGTTTATAGGCCCCCTTTAAATTATTTTTAAGGAGAGTTTTATAAATTACATAAGAATGTAAAAGAAATATAAGTAACCATAGGATACATGGCATATTTTCCAGAAAAGTTATAGAACATTTCGTCTTAAACCTCCTAATGTTATAGGTCAATTAATAGTTAGAATAATATCATAAAGAAGAAATATTAAATCACCCGCGTGGCGCAGTGTTTAGAGTGTCTGCTCAAGAACTTCGAAGTAAGGATTTATTCCTACGTCGCTGGTTCGTATCCCAGTGTTGGACGTAGAGACCGCATCCTCGAATGAAACCGTATAAACCGAGGTCCCATGTCGCATAGGTGATAAAACGAAATAAAATCTCTTCCTATACTCAGTGGCCCCGAGTGCCGAGTATAGGACATAATTTGTAGGTCTCCATCGGCAAGTGGTGGTGTCTCCATATGATTTAAAAAATACTCGAAATGGACGTTAAATAATATACAATCAATCAGTCAATCAGAAAATGTGACTCACAAAACCCGCTATGAGTGATTTTTCTACTTGAAATTTTATCAACAAATATATTTTACTCAAATATATATTCTTAATGATAAAACAATGTAGGTATCCAGGCATTGGGAGAAAAATATGTATTTTTATACTCATTGAGTACTTTTTTCTATTTAGTATAATTGATATAAAATACATCTTGTAAAACGTTTGTACTTGTAAATGTCATAATTTCATTTTTACTCTAATCGTTTATGTCTTTAATTTTATTTGAAATTTAGTTTATCACATGTGTGCAACATTTTTAGGAATTCCGGATGGGCAATTTTCTTGTCTTTAGATCCGGCAACTATACTTGTGCATAACGTAACTTCCGCTCAGCATCTTTGTAAATCTTGCGTTAACGTCCGGCAAAACGAAATTAGCGACATGGTCAGGAGAACAAGGTAATTAGCAATTATGCATACATTAAAAATTCTTATGCTTACAATAACGTCTAACGCCCCTGGTCTTTTTAGTTAATGTCTTTGATTCAGTATAGATTTAACAATTACTCTGCATGTAGAACATTTTTGTACGAACATTGCCAGTTTGTTTTTATACATGGCGCCATTTTGACCCACATGTAGTGAAATGTTGATTGATAATTATTAGTCCCATAGCAATTTGTATTTCATATATCATACCAATTTAATGATTAAATAGAACTGATTTATTATGTAAATTATCACTAGTGAGATTATTTGTTGTGTGCATGGAATTTTGTGTCATTATTTACTTAAGAGTTATTCCCCTTTGTACGGCAATGTTAGGTAAAGTGCCAAGTTTGTTTACATATTTTATTTTCTTATTGTTACTTGTAATAATTTAATTGAGATTAAGAAGTGAGTTAGATGAATGTTTATTTGTTATTCATGTTACATACTGCGTACTAGTCAATTGGGTGAAATTCTTGAATATTCTAGACTATACATGTACGTATACTAAAGATAAGATTAGTGCATGTTTGTGTGCTTAATGAAATTCTAGATTTTCTTGTTATGTAATCCTAGCTGCAGAACTGTAGCTCTCTGCTTGAGAAAATTAGGACAGATAAAGCAGAGAGCTACAAATCCATGCATTGTAAAAACCTGCGATTTACGCCGACGGTTTTTTGTCGCTTACTTCGGGTATTTTTCTTATATTTTATACTTTCCCCAGCTTTAAGATTGGTATTTTTAAATCTTATGTATTAATCAAACATTTAACTTCAATTCCTGACATTCTAATTACCTTTCAACGCTTTCTAGAGAGCTACAGTTCTGAGGCTAATGTAATCCTTAATGAATTTTGTAATTTTTAACAGTTCTTACGTTGATGAAACAATAAACTCTTGACATCACCAGTATTTGAACATTTTAATGACCCAGGTAGCGAGTATGTTAACGGATCTACCACCTAATTTTAATTAGATTGTTAATGACCTAGCAAGCTACAGTACTTCTGCTTTAATTAAGACTTCACAGATCACCTATAATTCACTTTCATGCCAAAAAAACTCTATTGTCATAGAGTTTAAAATCACAACATAAACACAGATTTTTCAATTCAAAATTATTTTCGAGAAAACAGTAAGTTTTTTAAAAAAAAATTATAATATATTTCGAAATTAAATGTTAATATCAATCACTGGCCGAAAGGGGTCTCTGTTTTATCTACTTTAATTTAACCTGTGCAGAGACTTGCGTTCAAATAAAACCTATGTCATAGTTTATCAGCCGGTAGTATCGGGTCGTGATAACACCAAGAATATTCCCGAGAATTTTGCTTTGAAATAAACAATTATCAACTGAATGGGGTAAAGACATGGTATAAATAAGTGTCTCAAGTTTATGTGTTATCTATTATGTAATACAAACGATTGATCAATAGAAGAATTTAACATCTGTAAGAAAGCTCACATGTTCCTTGTATATATAGCCTTGAAATTACTCTAAAGGAGACATTTGAACAATAAGCATGATCAGGCATATAATTGAAACAAAATCAACATTTTTCATATGAATAAATATTAAATTATTTTAAAAAAGAAATTTACTGTCTAAATGCCTGATGTCGTGTAAGATGTTACGTGAAAACCGACTTTGTACATACTGATTGCCGGTCCATTTATTATATACTGAATTGTCGACAGATTTTTCTTTTTTTTCCCCATACGAACATACGAATTATGAGCAAACGGCGTGTGTAACAGGTTGGAAGGGGATCTTCACTCTTCCATGGCACCTGAACCCATCTCTGATGTTTTCGAGGTCCGCCTTGCTCCGCACTTGTATTGTTTTATGGACTTTTGAGCTTGAATACATATTTCACGTTCTGGTCAGAAGATCGCCAACATTCATTTTTTTAAATACAAATGATATTAGTCGCCCTTGCGTCCAGTAGTTGGAAAGTCTGCTCTAAGAGTCGCATAGTAAGAAGTTGATCTTGACGTCGTGGAATACGGACGTGGATACTGGCCCCACAGATGAGACCGTAGTAGGTGCTGGCATGAAAAAGATCCGTCACTGCTCAATGACCGAGTGCTGAGAAAAGAACAAAACTTGCAGCTCCCCGACAAGTAGTGGCCATCTCTATATGAGTGAACAATTTTTGAGAGGGACGTTAAAATAAGATTTAAAAAAAACCTGTACCAATATAGTATTTTAAACCATTTATTTCGTCCATAAGACGCATACGTAGAGCAGTAGTACAGCTTTAGGCCGTTTATTTTATGGTCGTGGAGGTTAAAGTAAATCCACAAGTTTAAACCGAGGTCATGTGTCACAGTTCCGAGTATGTCTAAATTTGCAGTCCTTCGCCGGGAATTGTTGGTGTCCCAATTTGACTGAAAAAATTCAAAACAAGCAAACACTCAAAACAATACTTAAAATCTAAAGTTAACTAAATTAAAAATGACATGTATATGTTTATATATTCTTTCTTTGATTCTTTCAAGCTAAAATTTATATGCCATATATTTTTTTTCTGTCCTTAAGCTTGTTCGAGCCTTAAAATCAAACGCTTGTGTCTCGCTGTAGGCATTTGCACTACAGTAGGTCCTAATTTTGTTTCTTTTCCTCTGTATATGGTGACGTTTTTCGAAGCAAGTTAAAAAGAAAAAAAATATATAAATATATCATTCAATTATTTTTCTTCGAAAAAGAATCAGTCTGAACATTGTATAAAATTTACAAATGCTAACAGGTTCGGTGGGAGCATGAATTCATTATTATGATAATATTCCTTGTTATTGTATTTCACTTGGATACATTTTCTAGTCCTCTTCTTCGTCGATGTGCTTCAGGTCGTCTTTGATATGAAGATCTTCTTCTTTTCTACTTCTATCATCATCATTCTCTCTTGTTTGGTAAACCTCTTCAAACTTCTTGCATTTGATGTCAAGAGCATCCAACAAATCTTTCCACGTCTTCTCGGTAAAAGCCTTTACTTTACATCTCCTGTGATCCATGAGTTTCTTCAAACCTTTGGTGTTTTTCTCGCTTTGCCTCGTTTTCAATCCATGGACATGTGGCTCCCCCTTCGTTATGCACGAGCGGCGTTTTATCTTATAAAGACTAGCAATGTAGATCGTTAACTGCAGTTGTCTTTTTCTCGTTAGGAAATCGATCAGCTTGCATGCGCAGTATTCACAGGGTGAATTGTTGAGGTAAATTCTTACTCTCATTAATTCCTTCTTGTACATCCCGGAGAGTTGTTTAATCAAGGTTTGCTCTGAATGTCTTTTGACGCTCGTTATGACCTTTGGATCCTGGCCACTGACCCAGTAAACTAACAGCGTGGTGCCGGCGTAGGACCAGTTGTATTCATGGTTTAAGACAGTGTTATACATATGATCAAAGACGTCTTCTGCATCTGCAAAAGTGGCTCTAAAACAATATTGAAGGGAACTATATGTATGTCAGTAGCAAAACATCATTCTCTTTTAAAGATGCTTAGACGCTCAGGAAATTGTAGAAAATATCGACATCAAATCTGTGTCTAGTTAAGCACGTTAAAGACAATGCCACTGTTGCAAAACTCGTGACTTTTCAAAATCGCCTTCACAAAAAAGAGAGATACATCGCATGTTTCTTAAAAATGCATTGTTGAACTCTTCTTCGTACTTAGAGAATACGTTTAGAAAACTAAAACACAAGTTTACTGATCAATTTGGAAGTTCGTACTATATTTTAAGCCTAGTGCACTTTTAAGAAACAAACAAGTCTGATATCAAAATAAAATTTAAAAAAAGTTCTGTACTCCAAATGGGTCTCTTGTATTTGAACATTTCGAGTTTATTGACTGGGCTCATGCCAAGAAAACCTTAGCATTCTCTCCATATAGCCAACTCAATAAAAGCCGAATTAACGTTAATCTGTGATTCTTCCCCGGGGAGATGTGCGCCAAGCAATTAATGTCAGCAGGTTTGAGGGAGGGATCTTAAAATTTACTGGGTTTAAATTATAGGTAGAATACTAATTATTTAGAAGATTTGAATCCCCCCCCGTCTTTTTTTTTTTGGGGGGGGGGGGAGTTAAAAATAGGAAAGTAAATTAATTATAGTAAAGTAATTCTTTAATAAAATAAGCTGTTTTTAATTTTTTTACGTAATTCAATTTCAAAATATTTTTTCTTAGTACAAATTGGCATCTGGTAGTTGTGGAAGTACTGCGTCGAAATATAGATAAAAGGGTACCAAATTCCCGGACGCTTACATCATTTCCTGGTTGAACAAGATGGAGACGAGTACTGATTGGGTAGACGTTACCCGATTGGCTATGTAAACATTTTCATTTAAAAGTGAATATTTTCTGTTGATTTTTTTTCTTATTTTCTTCAATTCAACTTTTTTAAATATAAATTTTGGTACCAGTGCCTCTGACATTTTACGTATTTTGTAAATAAATAAAGATTTTTGACAGGAACTATTTAGGGCATAAGGGACTACTTCCTGGGGTAGACGTTTATTTTTTCTCTAACTAAGAAAGCTAAGAACCTAGGATCCACCCCCAGAAGTCTGCTGCCGTAAATTGTCTTGCCGGCGTTTTGGGAATATGGGTGATTTGCATCAATTACACTTTTATTGACTCCATCGCTGTCGAAATCGAACGAGATTTCTTGGCATGACACAAATAGAAAAGGGGGGTTAAGATCTTTTACCGTGACACAAATAGAAAAGGGGGGTTAAGATCTTTTACCATGCCAAGAAAACCTTAGCATTCTCTCCATATAGCAAACTCAATAAAAGCCGAATTAACGTTAATCTGATTCTTCCCCGGGGAGATGTGCGCCAAGCAATTAATGTCAGCAGGTTTGAGGGAGGGATCTTAAAATTTACTGGGTTTAAATTATAGGTAGAATACTAATTATTTAGAAGATTTGAATCCCCCCCCCGTCTTTTTTTTTGGGGGGGGGGGAGTTAAAAATAGGGAAGGAAATTAATTATAGTAAAGTAATTCTTTAAAAAAAATAAGCTGTATTTAATTTTTTTTACGTAATTCAATTTCAAAATATTTTTTCTTAGTACTAATTGGCATCTGGTAGTTGTGGAAGTACCGCGTCGAAATATAGATAAAAGGGTACCAAATTCCCGGACGCTTACATCATTTCCTGGTTGAACAAGATGGAGACGAGTACTGAATGGGTAGACGTTACCCGATTGGCTATGTAAACATTTTCATTTAAAAGTGAATATTTTCTGTTGATTTTTTTTTTTCTTATTTTCTTCAATTCAACTTTTTTAAATATAAATTTTGGTACCAGTGCCTCTGACATTTTACGTATTTTGTAAATAAATAAAGAGTTTTGACAGGAACTATTTAGGGCATAAGGGACTACTTCCTGGGGTAGACGTTTATTTTTTCTCTAACTAAGAGAGCTAAGAACCTAGGATCCACCCCCAGAAGTCTGCTGCCGTAAATTGTCTTGCCGGCGTTTTGGGAATATGGGTGATTTGCATCAATTACACTTTTATTGACTCCATCGCTGTCGAAATCGAACGAGATTTCTTGGCATGACACAAATAGAAAAGGGGGGTTTAGATCTTTTACCATGCCAAGAAAACCTTAGCATTCTCTCCATATAGCAAACTCAATAAAAGCCGAATTAACGTTAATCTGTGATTCTTCCCCGGGGAGATGTGCGCCAAGCAATTAATGTCAGCAGGTTTGAGGGAGGGATCTTAAAATTTACTGGGTTTAAATTATAGGTAGAATACTAATTATTTAGAAGATTTGAATCCCCCCCCCGTCTTTTTTTTTTTGGGGGGGGGGGGAGTTAAAAATAGGGAAGGAAATTAATTATAGTAAAGGAAATCTTTAAAAAAATAAGCTGTATTTAATTTTTTTACGTAATTCAATTTCAAAATATTTTTTCTTAGTACAAATTGGCATCTGGTAGTTGTGGAAGTACCGCGTCGAAATAAGATAAAAGGGTACCAAATTCCCGGACGCTTACATCATTTCCTGGTTGAACAAGATGGAGACGAGTACTGAATGGGTAGACGCTACCCGATTGGCTATGTAAACATTTTCATTTAAAAGTGAATATTTTCTGTTTATTTTTTTTCTTATTTTCTTCAATTCAACTTTTTTTAAATATAAATTTTGGTACCAGTGCCTCTGACATTTTACGTATTTTGTAATAAATAAAGATTTTTGACAGGAACTATTTAGGGCATAAGGGACTACTTCCTGGGGTAGACGTTTATTTTTTCTCTAACTAAGAAAGCTAAGAACCTAGGATCCACCCCCAGAAGTCTGCTGCCGTAAATTGTCTTGCCGGCGTTTTGGGAATATGGGTGATTTGCATCAATTACACTTTTATTGACTCCATCGCTGTCGAAATCGAACGAGATTTCTTGGCATGCTAGAGCAACATGCGTTATGTCGAAACTTACAGCAGTTTGGTTCGAGGGGTCGACAAAATGTATTTTTCACGAGAACACAGTCAATGAATATTTGCTATACCTTTTATTTATTCATTTTATTTTAAACATAAATGTATGCTGAACACCACAAATGAAAATGAAGTTTAACTAACCCGCCCATTAAATGACGAAAGCAGTGTACATGTGTAATATCTCATCGACAGGTCCAATATCTCATTTAGATCAAGCATTGATTTTTTAAACCACTTGTTAAAACAATGGAAATGTTACAGTTTTTCTAGTATTGATATGGGAACAATTCTTAAATAAGGGTATTGCTTTCAGTATAATTTATAGAATGTTAGAACTCAGGAAATCAAAGAGCTAGTAATCACTCAATTATAGTAAAAAAAACTATTTTTGCAACACACGTATGAGTTCTTTACATACCGGTGTTGTTTTATCTTTTTTGTTAGTTGTAACTAGTAACTAGATTCCATTTGTATTGATTGATTAATTATGCTCAAAAGTAATATGATACAGGTACTTAAATATTCATAGATGCAGGTTTTATATAGTATTACAAGTACAAATGTTGCGTAAGAGCTTCATATTTTAAACGATCGACTGTGTAATCAATTACCTGCTTCGGGTTCGTCATCACTTATGTTATCTAGAAAGAAACAACAGAAAACAACATGGTAACTTCAACGCATACTAATAAAACTATTATTCATTTTACCTGTATCTTATCTCTCTATTTACCCTCTCCCCCTCTCTATCTCTCTTTCTCTCCCTCTCTTTCCTACAAACAGTAAAACTATTTTGAAAGTTCTTACAATTCGAGTTTAATAAATGAAGAAAGCTTGTTGTTTATCAAAATACGGAAAGAAGAACATTTCAAACAAGAGCACCGCAAAGCGGAGCATCACCTTGCAAAGAGCATATCTATAAAGCAATACATTCGATATCGATCCTGATGAAAATTGAGTCACTTTCGTTTTGTACCAGAACAAAACGTGTTACTATATTTTCCTTCAACTCAGTTGCGTGGGAATAAAAAAAGAAGAAAACAAAAACACACATGCAATCATCCGAACAAACAAGCAAAAAAGTTAACAGAGGTGATAAACAAATTATTGCATTTACCTAACACTTGACAGTTAAAAGTTAAAGACAATAGGAAATTTTGGAAATATTTACCAAGGTCACTTTCAGAATCATCATCTGCGTCACTCTCTGTAAAAAAAAAATATTATTTTCATTTTAAAAAGCATGCAGGATTATTATGTCTTCATGCAAGAAAATTATGAATTATCATGAAAGTTACTCATCTTTTTAGGGATTTTGATTTTTAATATGTGTAAAATTACTCGGTTTGCAGGTATCTGACACTAAACATTCAAGATGAAACATATTTCGTAATGATAACATAGTAGTAGCATTGATAACATTTGACTTTTATGTCGCCCATCAGCATAATTATCTTGCATGTATATATAAATATCTTGCTTGTCAACATAGTTATCTCGCATGCATGTTGACAAAAATATTTTTGATGTTAACATAATAATCTCGCATGCAGATATAATAATTGCATTATTAAAATATTTTCAGAAATTTTACATTCATATTTACATTACAAAGATAAAATTTGTAAAAGATAATTTCGTTTCTTTTATTTCCGAGTCTTCTAACCATTAATAGCTTCTAACCATTTAAATTAACATTACAGTATATCTAGACATATTCTAGTATTTTATGACAAATAAAGTTATTTCAAAATTACTAATTATTCATGAACTACATTACCTTCCTCCTCCACTCTTGCACCAAAATCAAAAACTCGTCTTTCTCCAGTGTCAGATCCCCCTTTCACCCCGAAGCTAAAACTTCTTGATTCCACCGAGTATGAACTTCCTCTGGCACCGAATCCAAAAACGCTTTTCCCCTTTGAGCTAGAACTTCCTTTTTCCCCAAAGCTAAAGCCCCATTTTCCTTTTTCCCCGGAGCCAGAATCTTCTTTTCTGCCTACATGTAAGCCAAAACTTTCATTCTCCCCCGAGTAAGAACCTTCTCTATTACCAAAGCTAAACGCTACTTTTTCCCCAGTGTCAGATATTCCTTTTCCCCCGAAATTGAAACCACTCTTTTCCCCAGAGTTAATACTTCCACTTTGCCCGAAAGTAAAGTCTGATCTTCCTGCTGAGTCAAAACCTCCACTTTGCCCGACAGTAAAGCCTGATCTTCCCGCGGAGTCAAAACTTCCTCCTCCACCGAAGTTAAAAAAATTCTTTTCCCCAGAGTTAAAGCCCCCTCTCCCCGCAGAGTCAAAACCTTTTCCAACCCCGAAGTTAAAACTTGGCTGCTTATCCATAATGGGCGATATGCACCCAAGAATATATCAAGGTATTTCCAGCAATTCTGAAGAAAAAAAAATCTAAAAAAGGCACATGATTTAAACACCATGCTAGTAATCGATTACCTAAATCATTTATGTACATATCAATTTCATATTTTGCATGATTGCAAGTTTTTTGATAAAGTGTCCATGTAATTGACTGAAATACTAATTTTACTTACCGCTAATTAAAACCGACTCTCTTCATATACTGATCAAAATATAACATTGTCAAAGATTGTCCACAGGTAATATAAGATTACGAAACATGACATATATCAGCTAAGAAAATTCTAGATATCAGTGTGTACTTGTGCATTTCGTTTGTTTACATAGTATGTTTCTTGCATAAGTCTTCTTTCTCAGGCCGATAAGAATGTTGATTACGTAAAGGACTGTTTGCTCTCCTGCAAACTTTTATTTTTTTTTATGCCTCACCCTTCCTTTACCTCAACACAACATAAACACCATAAATGTTGAAATTGTAATTTATTGATCAAATAAATTCTGATCAACAATTCAAAAATGTAATAGAAACAAATCAAAATATCTACCAAAATATTCCTAAAAATATATGCAATTATACTGTTCATAAAAATGAGCAAATACAAAAGAAGGTACAAAATGTATCAGTACATCAAAACATAAACACTCAGAAGTTTACTTTTCCATACAATGAACATAATAGGTTAACAAATGACTTTGAATCTGTCTCGAAATATATACACAGAAGGAAATCTATTCAATGAGACTTTAAAAAAATAAACAAAGTCGCCTTTATGTTTAAGCAAACAATTTTAATGAACTGAAAATTTTAATTTACTGATACATGAATCAGCATATTACTGTAGATTCCTTATTTTTCGCGAGTGCTTTTTTTTCGCGAACTGGCTCTTTAACGTCAAATCGCGAGAATTATAATTCGCGAATGGACGGTTGATCAACAGAATTTACATAGATTTCAAGCACCATCAAAATAAAAGCGAGTAATATGTTTTTGCGAGCGATGCTTCTCGCGAAATTACGCGGAAATAAATTCCTCGCGTATAATAAGGAATCTACAGAATGCAAATTTAAAACTATTAAATTTACATTTTTTTTCTGATTTGCAATGATATATGTAGAGCTCTTCTGCCCCTAATGTTTTGAAAAGTGGTGTTTGAAATCAATTTTTGCACTGTTGATTTTCAACGTAATTTTACATTATTTCAATGCGTATAGTTTAAATTCACATGTTTAACAAAGGCGGCTAAATTTTATCGTTGAACTTTTACCATCTTTGCACCCGTACATATTTTGTTTTAGACAGATTCCTTAATTCGAAAAGTGCTGGGAGCAACTTCCCCATCCACGTGAACTATGTATAAAATTTCGCCGTCTATTTTTACCAAGTCACCTGACAAACAGCGGATGCTCTTGAAGTTTTTTTGGCTGAACTCGGTTAAGACACTGTACAAACATATGCATTAGTACAATTCCTATTACATTTAAACTCATGCTAATAAAAAAGATATCAACATTATATTAATAATATTGGAGTATTTTAAGGCATATTTCCTATGGACGGCCTTTACCTGCGTATTTAATCACATTTTCATGCGAAATGCTAATTGCAATTTATAAGTTGTGATATTGAGAAAGGATGATGTTCAAATCTCATACATTGTACATATATTTAGATAGTTTACTTGAGAAAACATAAATAGCAAATTAACAATAAACTTGATGAATTTACCAATAATCTAATCAGTTTCCTTTATGTACATGTGTATAGCAATTTACTATTGCCACTTGCAAATATTTTCAATTCGTGATCTGAAGCAAATACATATATATAACACTTACTCACAGGCTGCATTCTGTTCAGTCCCTTTCTGGTTCCCGGAATGAAATATCCCTCGGAAAGTTGTTTTTAAGATGAATATGCCATATTGTATGTAAAACAGATGGAATAGCCATTGTTCAAAGAAAACTATACACGTGGCTTACTCAGTATTGTCAATGCACGGACTAATAGCAACAGTCTTGATAAGAAATAAAGAAAAAAAAGGAAAAAAAGTCAATAGATGTAACTATACAATAGTGGACTTTCCAAAAAAAATCTTGAAAAAAATACTACTATGCGCAGTGTAGTATGTAGACCTTCTTTCATGCTTAAAATATAAAATTAAGATAACAATGGGCTGGACTAATCTGTATAACTACCTTTGCTTTGGTTTTGTGGGCCAGGGTGAGGACACCCTCTTTCTTGGAAAAATATCGGTTTCATCATTTGGATCGACCCCATATGAATTATTGACTAACAAGCTCAAAAAGATGCACTCGCCATTAACAATTTTTTAAGTTTTAATTAATTTGACATTTTCTGGCCTAAACTATTATCGTAGCTTGGTGGCCAATGCAGGGTAATTGTAATTTATGAAAAACGGGTTCTGTACCTTGACACTGTTCCCGTGTGGCCATTGGGGGTGCCCAGTGGTTGGTCTCACTCTGCTTGCTTAGCTTATTTGCTATGTACAGCTTTTGAAACCTGTTGCAACTGCTCATTAGATAAAATAAAAGACGGCTGGCTCCTGCTTCCCCTGGTTCCAGGTTGACCTTGACTGGCTTTAGAAGGAGAAACGCCATCGTTGCGCTTGGCGCGTCTTTTTTGGTAAAGGTGTCGAATCACGCTTTGTTTTTGGCATTGTCGTTGGTTTTAGGATGCTCGTTATGAAATACACACACAAAAGAAACAAAATATTAAGCTCTTACAAAACAGTCGGATTATGGAAACAATTAATGGAATCTATGCCTATGTATCTAAGACCACGTGTAGCTAGGCGAACAGAAGCAAGATAATAATACGTTCAATGCAATGATCGTGTTCAAAATATCTAACAGGGAGCAAACACGATCTACAATGCTTCGCAAGACAAAAAAGAAATTTCGCCAAAGGCAGTTGAGCACGTGGGAAAAGAATTCAATGCTAGAAACACGTATTACCTAGTTGAAATTTTGAAGAAACTTGATTTTTTTGCGCTCGACGTCACAGGTTTCGGTGCTTGGTTTCGACTAATAACCCACAACCCTGAGTACAGGATGGCACAAATACAAGTCCAGGATTGGAATGATACCTCCAAAAGCTGCAGTACTAAAAAGCTTAAAGGCACTTTAATAAACGGACCTTGAGTGGTTAAATTACAATAACTTCTAAAATTGACGACTTGAGGGGTTAATAAGAGCTCCACACCTTATCATTCCTTTTCTAATCGACCTTTAGACTTAAAAAAACTTATTATTAATCACATTTTTGTTTGTTTCTTTTTACTTATCAAATGCAGTACTGTCCTTAAAAGGAAAATACGTAAGTATATAATGATGATCCAACAAGTAAAAGGACTTACTGCAAAAATGCTATTGTAAATAGCATGCCCCAGATTTAAAAAAAAAATGCAATTTGTATATTTTTGGTTGTTATAATTTATTTTATGTTGTACGTCACTCTTATAATGAAAGTACATAACTATTGATTGCAAGAAAATAGCGACTTGTAAATTATACTGAAGGATATATCTGTAGAATGTAATAAAAGCTGAACTGCATACATGACTCATTTGTAATAATTTGGTTAGAAAAAAACTAAAATATATACAGTACATGTAGCATGTAAATATTACAAAGTTTCTCACTTCGTTGGTTGAAAACAAGATAGAAGTGAAAAACTCATAGCACAATTAACTTAACTATTTACCTGTAATTAATTTTTTTAATACATGTACATGTAATGAGATTTGATGATAAACATCAGGCAATTCTATGAGAAAGAGTGTCTATTCTTAACAGTGTTGGTTCTTTAATGTTATGAAATTGTATTTGTTGTAAGGAATTTTTTGTAAAATGTAGGAATTCTAAAAGAACCCACATCTCTGTTAGTAATACCCAGTATTTGCCACGAAATATCTTTGATTAGAGAATGTACATAATTCCCGTTATCAAAGGACATCAGAGTCTGTAGAGCTCCTAAAGATTATTGTGATCTGACTGTGTCACCCATTCTGAAATGATTCAAGATATATAGCATGTGTAACATCACTAGAGATGGGATTTGTAAAATCATCCTGCCTTCCTTTTTTACGTGTTACGTGGCTGAAAGATACAGAATATCAGATAGACAACCAAACCTACACGACTGTTTCAGTAATGCAGCTACGCTTGCTTGATAACAAATCTTATAGCTAGTTTCATTCTGATATATACTATTGCTACTCTCTATCATCATGGCAGTATTCCGTAACACATTTGATGTGATACATTGTAAAGTGACGTGATAAAGTGATATGGTAAACCTTTTCAAAACAATTCTTTGTATTTGATTCATGTAAACTGCAAATTCCTCTATACATATAATGACTTGATCAAGTACAATTAATTCTTTTAAAAAAATAATATCGAACTCAGTACTAAATATGGAAACTGCTCTCTTCTGTACATACTCTAAATGATCTATTTAAAATGGCGTGACTGAGGAATGGTTTGATTGTTTTACTTAATAGTAAACAAACTATCACCTTGCAATAAAGATTATACAGCTGACCGAACAATGATGATAGTACAAAACTAGTGACTTTTTGTCTAAACATGTTGTTGTGTGGAATAAAAAAGTTTTGACATTCCACAGTACCTACCATGTAAGTCAATAATTTAAAGCATCCCCAGTAACAAGACAATACGTTATCAGGTGTCCAAGACAAGGAAGTATTTGTCTGCATGACCCAAAAATACAATAGTTTTTTTTTTAAAGTATGAGCAGAGAATGGATGTATGGGGATTGCAACTAATACCTTCTTTCAAAAAAAGTTTGAATAGACCATAGCACAAAAAATGACAGTGATTCATTGAATAAAGGAGTTTTTGCTCTACACGAGAGAATGAGATTCTCCATTCTAGTTCATTTTCAGGTGTGCTTCCAATCGAAACAACATGATATCCTCCACTTATTATTTCCTATACAACATTTAGGGCTGGTCAGTCCTGTTCACGGCATCTCTGTATCCATGGTAGTGCTGACGCAGGTCAGTGATATGACCGGAAACAGAACACATTGTCAGCATATACATTGTGATATAAGGAATATGCAGAGCAAGATCCATGAGAAACAACATTAGTGATCGGAACATTGCAGGTATTTAAGAAATGCAAAAGATTATCTCTGAATAATGTACTTAAAATATATATCTTGTTATTAATTACATGCACTACACAGGAGAAAATAGTTTCTACATTAT